GTACTCCCTGGGTGCTTACGGTGGTCTGCATGATCGTTTAAATAACGCCGGCATCCCTCGCTAAAGTTCCAGTTCCCCGGGGCAGGGCCCTCATCTGGTTTGCTCCCTTTTGGGTCCTCACTGTCCACTTGGCACAGGGCAGGCGCCCCATAAATGTGTGTCAAATGAATGAGTAGCTCATCCAGATCCATTCAGATGGCAAGGTCAGGCCGCGCGGGGAGCCCACTTCCCATCACCTCCAGACATCACCTGTTGGCGACCAGAGGAGGAGACATACCCTTTCTGAGAAAGGGGAGGCACCCACCTGGCTTCACTGAGTAACCAGCAGCCCCCTAAGCACGCAGACCGGGGACGGATGTTGCTTGGATGTGAGGTTTAAGGAGTAATCGTAGAGTTAATCGGCCATGCAAAGACATAACTAAAGAGTGACAGCCACTTTACAGTGTCCAGATAATTGGGCACTTAATGTGGAGACATTAAAGAGGCAAACAGAGCCAGCCTGCCGGTGCAGACGGGTCTCCTCGTCGCCTCGTCCTTCCGTTTTAAAACCCCAGAAGCGACCCGGAGGCTTCAGCCCCAGGATCGGAGAATCCCTGAATGTCGCCACGGACGAGACTTCAGGCGCATGTCATCCGACCTCTTGAATGGGATTCTGGATGAGGGACCCGAACAGCAGAGGCTTTTCAAGCTCATTGGCTGGACCAAAGGCAGGACCCAAACCATGCCTTTCACCCTCGGCGTCCGTGTCCTCTATCTCCAAAACGCCCTTTCTCTCCTCCTAAAAGGCAGCACGTGGTCATTGCAGAAAGGAAAGGAGGCACAGAGGAGCTAGTTGGGTGCTTGGGGAGGAGGGGGTGGTGAAGGCATTAAAGGAGAAAATAAAAGTTACAAGCCCACCCGCAGCGATAATCCCCGTGCATAGCTTGGTGTGCTTCCTTTCTAATTGTTTTTTGGCTCAGTGCACACCACGAAGATTTCAGATGAACGTGTTCCAAACCCAGACTCATATGATCACAATTCTACATCTCGGGTTTGGGGTGTTTGTTTTTTTTAACTATTTAATATCGTAAGGAGAGCATTTTCCCATGCGATCTGTCCCACCGCTTGCCCCTTTCCTGCCGCATTGTTCCAGGCGTGGCCGGGGACTCCCCAGCATCAGGATCACACAAGGAAGCCACTTCAAAGGCCGATTCCCAGGCGCCAGCCGCGCCGCGTAGAATCTTTGTCTGAATGTTGCACACTCTCCCCGGGTGATCGAGATGCGCCGTCAACCTCGGGGCCCCCCAAGGGCTGCCTGCTGTAGCACTGCCCCGGGGCCAACCAGGTCCAGGGCCGAGAAGGGTCGGAGTGGGCGCCTGCGCATTGGGATTCCTTTTTAATACAGGTGATTGGCATGCGGTGAGGGCTGCGTGCATCTTCCACGGTACAAACAGCTCCCTCCTGCCAAGACTCGTAACAGCTGTCATCGTAAGAAACGTCCAGACCTGTCGAGGACTTTTATGAGTTTATTTGAGCCAAACTGACGATGATTATTGGGAAGCAAAATCTCAACGGACTGAGAAAATGCTCCAGAGAATGGCAGTTTTGCAGCTTATTTTATACATTAGAATCAAAGCGTGGCGGGGGGAGGGGGGCGGGCAAGGAGGGTTACATGAAATTCATTGGTAATAGATTAGGGAGGTGGGAGAAACCAAAGTGGCAGAATCTCTGCAATTGGATAAAGAGCAAACTGGCGAGACATGTGCTTGTGCTGGTTTTACATGGGTGGGTACCGTTAACAGTGCGCATGTACCGCATGTAGAGATGCTAGGCGGGGACAGGGTAACAGTGGGGGGCTCTGTGGTCTCTGTTGTGGCGGGAGAGGGTGCCCTGAGGGGTCTGGAGAAAGGGGGTCACTCAGACACATGGAAGGTATGTTGTCTCGGAAGCAAAAAGACAACCGACAGGCCCGGGTGAGGTAAAGGCTGACCTTTGGCAAGGAAGCTGCGGCCTCGGACACGGCTCCCCACCACAACTCACTTTTAGTTCAGAAGTTTTCATCTCAGACCATGCTCTGTGGTCCCTTTGGTTCTCGGCGTTTGTAAGGCCGCCACGAGGGCCTCCCCAGAGCTTGTCAGGTTCAGTGTGTGGCCCCTATTTCATCCACACAACAAGCAATTCCCTGGGGGCGAAGATGCTGACACGCTGTATCTCCAGGATAAAGACCCATTTGTGACCCATGGTCTTGACATGATTGTGACATAGCTTCCTGCAGGTTTATTTCCAGGTTCACGCTGCTTGGCTCTTGGGGCCTCCCTGTCGGGGCCCCAGCATCCGGGGCGGGGGCTGCACAGAGGGTGTCTGCCGGGGGCGCCGCAGGACGCCCCTGGCCCGTCTCCGAGCAGAGAGGGAAGGTCTGCCCGCCCCCACCCCACATCTTCTGTCCCTACCGGTTCCTACTGAACTTACAGTAACCAGGGTCCCTGAGATGAGACAGCTGAATCATGAGCTAAAATCCCTTGTTTTTCTGTGCCATTTGCCGCCACTGGTGGAAGCTAACCAGACACTCCCAGTATGACCCGTGTTAATGGGGCATTTCTGCATTTAGGATTAAATGGTGGAAGAAGCGGCCATCTTGGAAGAGGCTAGAACATGGGTTTACAAAGGGTGGGCGAATCCACAGCCCTGACTTTCCAAGAGGAGGCAGGAGAACCTCCTGAAGGAGGCGCACCGCTGTTTAGAAGTGGGTCGTCTGTGTCACGCGGCCTTTCTGAGCTCCGCTGGCAAAGTGTGACTTGAGGCAGGAGGCCCCAGGGGCTTCACGGAAAGAGCGTGATTTACCAACGCAGAGAACTAGGGTGTGGCCCTGGCCGAGGGACCCCCGGCGAGCCCCTCACCCTCTCTGTGCTTTGGGATTCCCACTGAGGAAAGAAAGAGAACAAAATCTAACCACTTTCCTGCTGAGACGGTGGGTGCAGGAGAAAAGAGAGCAAGGCCATGTGCGAGCAACACACACCGTGCAGCTAGCGTCCCGCCCCCGCTGGCTCACCGCATTGTCTCATCATATTTTTTATAATCCGGTGGCACCGAAGGGCGCCCAGAAAGACAAAATCCAGATTTCTCCACCCTACGCTGAAGGTTCTTTAGAGAAACCGGGTGACGGGGCAGCTGTTGGGTGTCAGGGAAGTGAGGCGGGTGGGACAGACCCAGATGGGACCATGGTGTGCGTGCACCCTAGCACTTACCAAGGACAGGGGCCCGTGGTGTGCGGGGGCCGGGGGTGCTCACGGGGCGCCCAGGGCTCTGCTTGGAGCATCCTGGCAGCGCTGCGGCAGTTCCTAATGGGGGCTCGGAGCCAGCCTGCCGGGCTCTGAGTCCCAGCTTTCTCCACCTCCCAGCTGCACAACTCGAGCAAACCGCTAATCCTCTCTGTGCCTCCGTTTTCTCATTTGGAAAATGGGGGCAAGAATAGCCCTTAGCTTGTAGTGCTGCTGGAAGGATTCACTAATCAAAGCTGAGGGCTACTGATCTCTGTGCCTGGCACATGGTAAGCGCTCAGGAAACCTCAGCTGCTGTTAGTCCGGGTGTTCTGAGACCGTGGACTGGGGCTTGCTCCTGGTTACTGCTGCCACTGCCCATCCTCCTATAAAAACAGTTTCTAGGGAAAAGGCGTGAGGAGGTGAGGAGGAGGACAAAGGGAAGAGCGCGCAGGCTTCGGCAGCTGCCTCCAATCTGGGTCACAGCGGAGGCTGAGAGCCTGCAGGCTGCTTTTGGCTCTTCCTCGGGCACAGTGTCTCTCTGCTGAATGGAACACATAGGAAAGGCTGCTATTTATAATATCGCCAGTCCGAGCACTTTGAGGGGATGGCGGGAGCGAGGAGGGCTTGTGGGGAGAGAGAGCCTCGGGTGGCTGCCAGGGGCCTTCTGGAGCCTGTGGTCCCCAAGTCCCAGTCCAGGGCTTCTCCCACCCTCGGTATCCACATCTGGGTCCCAGCCCGTTCAGCGGACGGCAGGGTCTGGCTCCATCTGGGTCCCCTGGCTGTGGCTGGAATGGGAACAATAGTCTTGCTTGAAGGAAGGGCAAGGAGATGACTTCCGGGTGGTGGCATATGCCCCAGAACCCACCTGAGATCCCAGTAGGGTGCTGCTCAGAGACAGTGGCTAGGCAGCCTTGCTGTTCAGAGTGTGCCAGGGAGCAGTGGCATCGTGTGGGATCACGTGGGGGCTTTCTAGAAATGCAGCACCCAGGCCGCGCCCAGACCTGGTGGTTCAGAATCGGCATTTGAACAAGATGCCTGTGCAGTTGTGCACATGTTAAGTTTGAGAAGCAGTCGTGTAAAGCACGTAAACTTGGGTTCTAGCTTCACCTCTGACACTTCCTTAGCTGTGTGACCTTGGGAAGGTCATTTAACTTTCCTGCCTGCTGGGGCTGGCTGGCAAAGCACTTCGCAGCACGCGGGGCGTGTATTAAGCATGACGTACATCTAAGTTACTCTGTATCACCTGACCATCGATTCGGCCTGCTCTTGCTGGGTACGGACTTGGGAAGTGGGCTGCCCCTCATCTGTTCAGTGACTCACCCATGGGGACAGCTGTGCTGGGGACGGGGATGGGGCTGGGGGTGGAGAGCAGCCTGGATGAAGACTTCGGACGGATGTGCAAGCTTGAGATGCCTGGGAAGACACCCGAGTGAAGATGTCATGCAGACAAGTAAATAAACAGGCCTGGGGCTCAGAGCTGGTTTCCTAGAAGAGGTGACGTGACACAGGAAGGACCAGGTCAGATTCTTGCTCTGGATTCAGTAGAATAGATGGGCTTTGGGGGATCTGGGGAGGGTTCCCATGATTTTCTGAAAGTGCGTCAGACTTCATGTGCCTACCTCTTGGAGAGGGTCCAGGGGTCCTCATCAGATACCTAAGAGTCCATGACTGAGAGAAGGTTAAGACCCCAGCCTATTACTGTGGGAGACGCAGGTGGTCCCTGGTCCTGTCAGGTCCTTAGTGCGCTGTCTCTGCTTCCAGGCGCCTGGTGGACCGTCTGGAGAACATGAGGAAGAACGTGGCTGGGGATGGGGTGAACCGCTGCATCCTGTGCGGCGAACAGCTGGGGATGCTGGGCTCCGCCTGCGTCGTGTGTGAGGACTGTAAGAAGGTACCGTCGCCCACTCTTCCCCGCACTCCTGTTCATCGCGTGTAGGGGGCTAGGTCTGGGCTTCCACCTTGGGGGACCCTGGCTCTTGGGACTGGAGCTTGGATCCTGAGGGGTAGCTGCCAGAATGTGATCCCTTCTGGGATGCTCTCCTGTCCTGCTGCCTCCCAAGGTGACCCTGATCCCGGTTCCTCCTGTGGAAGTCACTGTGACCCTTCTGTCCCCTCAGAGCTCAGCTCCATCCAGAATGAACTTGGGAGCTCAACTGAGGTAGGACGTGAGCTGCGGTGGAGCCTGCAAGTATCCGAGTTGTGGCTTAGCAAGCTCCATGTCACGTTGAAGAGTATGTTGGGCACATGTCTATATATGAAAGGCTAACCCAGCACTCCCTTACCTGAGTTATAGTACAAGTGACTTAGAAAGCCCCTCTCCAGCCCAGTTAGGGCCACTGGGGTTCTAGAGCCTTCGTTCTTGAAGGGGGGGGTCTCCTTGTGCTCCTCTACCCCGTAACCTCTCCTCAGCTGTGTGCACCTGACAGTTCCAGGACAGAGCTAGAACTGTCCTGGGGTCTGCCTGATTCCCAGGAAAGGGATCAGGGGAGTGGCGCACCTGGAAACATCCATAATGTCACTCGGCATCTCCTGCATACAGTCCCATCTAGTGTTTAGATGGAATATTGAGGAGAGTTGATCTATTCCAAAAGGAAAAAACAAAAAGCAAAAACAAACAAACAAAAAAAAACAACAACTGTTGTCTGCTGCAGGCAGGCAAGAGTGAGAATTTGGGGATCTATTAGGGTTTCCTACTTGTCTTGATTTCCAAGAAACAGCCAAAAATAAAATGTCCCATCACATAGTCATGGTGTTTACTCAGATAACTTCCTTCTCTTCTTCGAAGGGTTGAAGCTGTATTCAAAGCCTAGGTTGTCTCAGATTTACTTGAAAAGAAAGAAGAAATAAATTAATGAACAGTATGGATATATAGCTTTTCCTCTTCAAAAATCACGTCAATTGTCTCCCCTGTATGGATGCTGAACGCTCAGACCCCCCACAGACCCCTGGAGAATTTCTTTACCCAATGCTTGGGAATGGCCCCAGTTCTTGTTATTGGAAATTAAGACTCCAGTTGGAAATTTATTCTATCTGGCCTTGGCCATGGACAGGAGGTGGGAGAAGAGAGGTTCTGGCTCTGCACAGCGGGGTTCCGTCACCACCCTCCCCAGCCGCCTGCCCTGATCCCTGGCAGCTCGAAGCGCAATGCCTCTGAGCATACACTGGCCTGTGTTCTGTCCCCAGAATGTCTGCACCAAGTGCGGGGTGGAGACCTCCAACAACCGCCCCCATCCCGTCTGGCTCTGCAAAATCTGCCTGGAGCAGAGGGAGGTGAGTAGGCCTGTCCTGTCTGCCTTCCAGGGCGCCTGGCCTTTTTTTTTTTTTTTTTTTTTTTAATCCAACTCCCCCTTTCTCTCCAAGGAAACAAGGTGGCAAGTAGGAGCTGGAGAGCCTAGTCAGGGGCTGTTACTTCAGGAACCAGCTCAGCTGTGGGCGCTGGCAGAACGCCTCCTGTGCGGTGGAGTGAACTTATTTCTCGCGCTCCTGGTCCTCTTCCTAGCAGCAGGGAGCGGCACATCCCATGTGGGAGCTGGGAGACTTGGTGCCCATCCTTGTCTTTGCGCCCTCTGGTTGCGTGACCTTATACGTGTTCAGCCCTCTGCGATGTCCAGCTTTCTCCATCAAGGAAATGGGTCTACTCGGGCCCTCTCTGTTGAGAGGTCAGGGGTGTCGTGTGAATAGATAGAAATTGTGAAAGACAGCATCCCGGGGAGAAAAGCGTGCCGGCCACTGTGTCGGTGTGCCTAGGGAAGGGAGCAAGGTTAGGCAGTGACAGCCGCGAAGGCAGGAGCCGTAGTGCTTGGCTGCCATGTCATCTCTACCTCTCCTCCCCCAGGTGTGGAAGCGTTCTGGAGCCTGGTTCTTCAAGGGCTTCCCCAAACAGGTCCTCCCGCAGCCAATGCCCATAAGGAAGACTAAGGCCCAGCAGCCTGTCCGTGAGCCCGCCACCCCCGAGCAGCCCGCCCCTGAGCCCCCGCACACCGCCCGGGCTCCAGCTCGAGGTAGGACAAAAAAGACAAAACAAATGAAAAGCAAAAACTGCTGCTTTCAGGGCCGAGGACAGCTCTTGGCTAACTGGTCTACCTGGAGAATGTCCGCATACACTTGTGTTTCTACCCACTAGGGGCACAGCCAGCCTCCGGACTTGGGTCTAGGAAAGCCGTTTCACCTTCACAGCTCGCCAGGAAGGTAGCACAGAGAATTCTTCAACAATCTCACGCTTCCAAAAGGCTCTGTTGTCATTTTCGATGGAGTATTTAGAGATACAACAGAGGCAGAAATTGAAATAGGGACAGAGAGAGACTCTCACAACCAAAGTGCACACAGAGCCTCGGGGGCGCTCGGGGTTGCTCGAGGTTCGCCGAGAAGGCCTGTCCTTGCCCCTGACATTTCTTCTATCAGCCGTCAGCAGGTCCGAAACTGGACTAATCATAAGTGAGAGAGGGATAAGAAGGAAATTAGTGAAAGAAAACCACTGCCGCTGTGGATATTATCGTTATTATCCAAGTATTAATTATTTAAATGATTAAAAGGGAGAGGCAACACAGTACAAAGGGGGAAAAAAGGCAGCCACAACAAGAACACATTAATCGCATGAGACCACTAGGACTGACCAGATAAAACCTTTGCAACAATTTCATTTAGCACAAACGGATCCTTTCTGGTCTGAATGAGCATTCTGAGGATGAATTGCAAGCAGTGCTTCCGGCAGGGAGATCTCGAGAATCGAAGCACCTCGCTGTGTCTCCTGTAAGGTGCATTCTTAAGGTGCCCAGTATGGAGCCTGGCACTAAAGGCATCAACAGATACTTTCTTCCTGACGAGGCATGGGCAGTTTCTCCTCCTTGCAGAGGAGTGCCAAGCTCTCAGGATCCTCTGCATCCCTGAGGAGCCCCCCTTTCTACCCACAGAGCATCCCCTTTCCTGGTGAGGCACTGCTCCCTCTAGGCCGAGAGGCTGTGTGGCCTCACTGCCAGGACCTTGAACATGGGACAGAGGAGGGCCTGGCTCCAGATCCCAGCGCTGCCGCATGCAGGCCGCGTGCACTTGGGCTTTCAGAAGTAGGCTTTCACTTGTGAGGACGTGAAACACGGAGTTTTATCTTGCGTTGTTATTTATTAATTATGGTCTTATCTTCCATGTGAACAACGTTTGCCCCATCCTGTGTAAGATGGGGCCAATAACTCATTGGGTTAGTTTGAGGATCAAATGAGACGCTACACGTGAGTGCCTTGCAGAGCGCAGCACTTAGGACATAGTGACTGATAACATGTTAATCACCTGTACGCAGACATATCACATACACATGTAGGCGGTATGGACTAGATAAACTCTGGACAGAACAGATAATGCTGGAAATGCGGTCGATGTGGCCCCCATTCACTTCACTAGAAAGAAGTAGCATCACCAACATTGTGTAGTGACACCTAAAACATCACTAGAGTGACATCCGGTGCTGATGAATGTGTGGGGAGACGGACACTCTCTAAACTGTTGGTAGGACTGTGCCAACACCTGCAGCCTGTTGGAAAGTAACATGGCAGAATTTATTAAAATTTGAAATGTGTATACCATTTGATTCGCCAGTTCCTCTCTGGGAATATACCTCATAGCAATACAAGCACATATATAAGATATATGTAGTTTTGTTTCATCATTATTTATGGCAGCAAAACGCTGGGAAAACCTAACTTCTCATTCATAGAGGAATTACTGGACGGGCTATGGCATGTCCACAGCGTGCTGCGTTAGGTGACATTTAAAATGGGGTGACGTCAATGTCTTTTATAGATTTGGAATTGTGTTTATGATACGTGTTTTCAGTATTCTTTTAACGAACATTCACAGAACACCAAGCGAGCTCCAGGCTCTGTTCTGTGCCCTGGAGAGAGCAGTGTATGGAATAGGCCAAGATCCCCGCCCTCATGCAGCTAAAATTCTGGTGGGCGAACCAGATACCCAGCAAACTGCCAACGCAAATGCAGTCTAATATCTGGTAGTGCTAAGTGCTGGGAATAGACAGGAGGTTGGTGAAGGGGAGGGAGAGTGACAGGAGGTTCCATTGTGGATGGAATGGCCAGAGAAGGGCTGTCTGAGGGTGACCTTTGGGGGGACACGTGGCCGAAGTGATAGAGCGGGCCCCTGGGCTCTTCAGGAGCGTTGTATGCAAAGGACGTAAGGCTGGCACGTGCTTGGTGAGTCCTGGGGAAGAGCAGATGGAGTGTACGCAGCCCGCCTGGAAGAGGAGGGAGCCAGCAATCCCAGCTCGGTCGGTTCCAGCCTGTGCGAGCCCACATGTGTTTGCGAACGCAAAAGAAATACGTACGGTTGCAGACGAAAGCAACGTCAGAGGGGAGGTTGGGAGGGGAGAGTTTTAATTTTAAAAAGTACTTGGGAGAAGTGGATGGGCCCTTTGTGAGCTCAAGTAATGGCCCTCCAGGTGCCATTCAACAAGTCCTCCCTGTCATTTTTCTCCCTCTCCAGGTGACGCTGAAGACAGAAGGGGCCCAGGTCAGAAACCAGGTGGGTTCGGCTGGCTCTGGCTTCTACTTCAGGACAGGGGTCCTTTCACCCCATCCCTCCATTGCCCTTTCTCCATTCAACTCATGCCTTTCCTTCCAGGCCCCGAGCCGGCCTCTGCTCCTGGGCGAGGAAGCCACGGGCCCCCTGTGCGCAGGGCCTCGGAGGCGCGAATGAGCTCGTCCAGCCGGGACTCAGAGAGCTGGGGCCAGGGCCAGGGCCAGGGCCAGGGCGGCGGGGCGGCCGCGGACTCCAGCCGCAGCCCAGCAGGTGAGAGGGAGGGGCATGAGCCTTCCTGGATGAGGAGCCTCAGAAGGATGGGGGAGGACAGTGTTTTATGCACCTCGTCCACTCAGTATTTATCGAGCACCTGCCGTGTGCCGCGTTTGGTTCCAGAGGCTGCTTCTAGCCTTTGGCAGAGGAGGGACAGCGTTCAGACACGATTCTGGTCCTGTCCTTTCTTCCTCTAATGCCACATGTAAAAAAAAAATTTCTTTTTTGTCCTCCACAAAAAACTCAGGGCGAGGAGGGAGGCCCCTTGGCTTTGAGCCAAATAAGGACGCTCCCCTCTCAGACCTGACCAACATCTTTTTCCCGTAGCGAGCAGGCTGTGTCGTGGGGACAGCGGGCGGGTCAGCACGGCCAGGATGTCACTCCGGTCTCTCTGGGCGCCCAGCACCGCTGGCCTCACGCGCGGTGGATGTGCTCAGCCAGAGTGCCCACTGGTGGGAGCCCAGATCCTTGGACTGGGAAGGAAATGCCTGCTGGTGTGGGGAGACTTGAGTGTCAAGCCCCGTGGGAGAACTTGGCCCCTCCCCTCCTTGTGTGGCAAGGTCATGGTTGGACGGTCTGATGTTGGTTCCCACGTTGACCTCTGGCCTTCTTCTGAAGAGTGGGCTCCTGGCTTAGCGCCTCAGTTCCTCCTCTTGGCAGGAGAGCTGGGCAGTAGCACCCAGTGGTCCCAGGCAGACCCTGGAGACCAATGGCCTGAGTTCAAACCCTGGCTCTGCCACAAGACAGCCAAGAGACACTGGATGAGCTCCTTCACCCCTCTGGGCCCCGTGTTCCTCATTTATAAAATGGAGATAATGAAGTGCCTACCTCGGAGGGTGTAGAGATTAAATAAATCTTACATGTGAGGTCCCTGGCACATGGTAAGTGTTAAATAAATATTGACTCATTCTAATCAAGTAGGTAGACTTGTTGTCCCCATGTGGCCCCTGAAGTTCAGAGAGGGTGAGTGACCAGCCCACAGTCACACAGCTTATAAAAGAGAACACTCCAGTGCAAAGCTAGGTCCATGTGAAGAGACAGGTGGGGTTCTTTCAATAACAATAGTAACACCTGCCAGATGTGAAGTATTTACTACAAGCCAGGCACTATTCTGAGCACTTTGCATGTGTTGTATCATTGCATCTTCACGGTATGCTGTGTGGCGGGTTCTATCATCCCCATTTAATGGGGGAGGAGACTGAGGCCCAGAGGGGAGAGGTTATTTGTGCCAGGCCACAGGGCCTGTGCTTTTTAATACCCAGGCAGCAGCTGTGACTTGCCCAGGGGGTCTGAGTATTGGAAGGAGAGGACGCATGAAGAGGCGGAGAGAATCTGAAGGAGGTGTGAGTGTTGGAGGGCTGCGTTCAAATCCAGAAGGTGTTGCCTCGTGCCAGCCGACCAGTCCCAGCTTCTTCCTGCTTATACTGTGTGTGCGTGTGTGCATGCGAGCATGCGTGTAACGTGACAGGCTGTTTCCCCTTCTCTCTCCACAGGTTTGAGACGGGCCAACTCAGTCCAGGCCTCCAGACCTGCCCCAGCCGCAGGGCAGAGCCCGGCGCCACCTCAGCCTGGGCAGCCAGGTACCTGCCGCTCGCCCGGCCAGCCAGGCTGTCACGTCACTCAGCGGTGACCCCAGTTCCTCCCGTCCTTGCCGGCAGAACCCCGGCTTTCTGCAGAGCTGCAGCCACCACCAGATCCTAAGATCTTCTGAGACCCTTAGAATGAGTAATCCCCAGGGCTGGGGAGCTGGGCGGGACAGGAGGGGGCATCTTATCCACCTAAATGCAAGGGGTGACAGCCCCTCATTCCTCCATGTGCCCCAGCTTCAAGGATTGTCACTTCACTGTCACAACCTTTCCTACATGCACGTACCACCTACCCTCTTATTTCCGTAAATGCCTTTCTTCCAATTGACTCCATTTACAAACGTAACTGAGGACTTGCTGCCATATACTCTCTCAAGGAAAATGTAAGGACATCAGGCTTTCATAAAATGACAAATGTTCCCAGAAGGGTGGTGTGAGATTCAGCAAGAAACGATGAACAAAGAGTTTTGGGACGCGGGGCCTTCTCCCTGTGCCTTCTCACCGTCTTCCTTCGGTGCCTGTCTCTCTGTGTCCAAACATCTCCTTTTTATAAGGACACTGTCCTATCAGATTGGGGCCCACCCTAGTGACCTCATTTTACCTTGACCATCTGCAAAGATCCTCTTTTCCACATAAGGTCATGTTCACAGGTACTGGGATTAGGCCTTGAATATCTTTTGGGGAACACAGTTTGACCCATTGCAGAGGGTAACACAATTGACATAGTGAAAAATAAACATTGCAATGAAATTCTCAGCCCTCTGGCCTAAGAAGGTTCCAAGCCTGAGGCCTGTTCTTTTTGGTTCAAAAGGGAAATTCACAAAGTTTAGAGAGATGCTAGAGACCAAGTCACACCCAAATGAGACTTTCTGGAATCAGCATTGAAAGGCAATGGTGACTCCTCACTGAGCTGTTGAATGTTGTTCATGCCCCATCCCTATGGCTGTCCCCCCACCCCCGCACCCCACGCTTTGGGAAATGACGTGAAGACTCCACGCAACCAGTAATGGCCCCACAGCATCAATGGATTCAAAATGTAAACATGCCCATCACCTTGCAAACAGTGCCCACCCATTCGTGTATCCGCCTCATGGCAGCTTGTGAGCCACGAAGCGCTGGCGTTGCTGAGGCCCAGGAGGGAAGCCCTGGGGCTCGGACCTAGGCCTTCCTGGCCCCCAGAATCCCCCACAGGGCCATCCCTGCAGCCCCAGGGGCCGCTGCACATCACCTGCGACCCTGAGGCCTGTGTCCATGCCCAGGAAATGAGAGGGATGAGGGCTGGACACCCAAATGATGCCACCTTCTCTGCTCTGTCTTGCCTCTCTTCTCTGCGCGGGGCCCCCAGGAGGCAGCAGACCCAGCCCTGGGCCAGCCGGACGCTTCCCTGACCAGCGACCAGGCAAGTGCTCGCTTCCTCCCCTGCCTGCCCAGGTGGCCGCCGCCTCCCACCAGTCACACCCTGAGACCCACTTGAGGAGCTCTAAACTGTCCCCTCCCCGATCCCAAAACTCTAGATAATCCATAGTAATCCATTGCCCAGGGAGGAAAGTGAGGACACATTGAATGGTTAAGAGCATGCCCTGCCTGGGTTCCAGTCCCTGCCCCTTCCCGTCCCCGCTGTGTGACCCTGGGCAAGCCACTTAACCTCCCTGAGCCTCTTTCCTTATCTCTAAAGTGGGAATAATAGGAGGCCCTACTGCTCAGAGTTGCTACAAGGATTAAACAAACAAATACATATGAAAACCTCAGCATGTGGCCCAGAATGTGTTAAGGCCATGCTAAGTGAGAGTGACTATTATATATGATACATAGGCCTCATCACGTTAATCATTGTGGCTACAATGTAGTCATTGTTTTGTAAGGTACCAGGAGGATTTTAAGGGTTGCGTTAGATCATTTTTTAAATGATAGTTGCTACCACCTGAGTGCCTTCAGGTGTTGTAGTCCCCACTTTACAGACAAGGACACTGAGGCTCAGAGACATTAGGTAACTTGCCCTGTGTCACACAGCAGAGATGCACACCCAAGCTGTCTGGCTCCAGAGCCTGCACCACTGGTCTGTACCCCGTGCCGTCTGCTTTGCCTGCATCCGAGTAAGCCCCTGGGACTTGCTGTAAAACACTGATCCCAAGGCCCCACTACGCAGCCTGCTGATTCTGGGTGGGGCCCAAGAAACTGCATTTGTGCAAGCTTCCCTCGGTGGCTTTGACAAAGGCAGCATTCTGAGAGCCAGTGGATGGCACAGTGGGGCCCCCCTGTCAACTGGGGCCAGTAATGCTGTGTGGCAGGGCGTGCCAAGCCCCTGCTGTACAGTGGGTGCTCAGCACCTGTGCTGATGCTGTAGCAGTTGTTGCTGCCCTGGCCGTTACCGCACGGCGACTCAGCTGCCTCCTTCCTGCCCTCTCCCCGTCTCCCCACAGAGGTGGCTCCCAGCGACCCCGGCCATCCAGGGGCCACTGCCCCGCCCCGGGAGGAGAGAACTGGAGGAGTCGCCGCCAGGGAGGACAGAGCAGGCCACCCACCGGGCCCCTACTCCCAAGCGTCTGCTGCCGCCCCCCAGCCGGTCGCCACGCCCGCCCGCCAGCCCCCGCCCCCGGAGGAAGACGAGGAAGAAGCCAACAGCTACGATTCGGATGAAGCAAGTAGGTGGCACTTCCGGGAGGGGTGTCTGGGAAGAACTCCTTCAGGGTCACCCTGGGGGATACAGGATGGCTCCGGGGACAGCCCCATGCGCCCCGCCCAGCCCCCCAGCATGCCAGACATAACAAATGCAATAACCAAGTTATGAAAATACAAATTTGTGCTACTGGAGTCACAAAATGACATCAGCTTTCTAAAGTTTTCTAAACAATAGGGGCTGGCCATATATATGGCCATGTATATATATATGTGTGTGTGTGTGTATATTTTTTTGTTGCGGTGAAAGACATGTAACCTCATAGTTGCCATTTAAATCACTGTGGAGAAGGCAGTTCAGCTGCTGTTCAGGTTCCAGCTTGCCGTTCCTCAACAAGTCAAATGTGGGATTGTCGCCGGGCCTGGCATTCCACTCCTGGGCATACCTGTGCCTTTTAATCATTTCCAATGCTCTTTAATATGTGTCTTCTAAAAGTAATTTTTAAACCGTTTAAAAACGTCTGGATGTTTTCTTCTCTCACATCCATCCATTCAGTGATTTATATAGCGCCTGCACGCACGCACGCACGCACGCCTGAGCGTGGCTGGAGCAGCAGAGGAGAGCCGGGGTGGCGTTGGTGTGCAAGGGAGAGGCACAGGCGGGCAAGTGGCCGGACGTGATGCGTGTTGCGGGATTGGGGGACGCTCCCAGAGCTCGTGGTCGGGGGGAGAGACTGGACCTGCTTCAGTGACATGGACCAAGGGCTGTCACCAGCAGCGTGGGTTTGGCCCATTGCGTCACCCCTTCTCGTGGAACGTGGAACGAGGAGCAGGATAGTGCCCCCTCTGCAGGGCTGACGGGGGCGGGAACTGAGGCACCTCCTGGGAGAGTGCATGGTGAGCTGGGAACCGTTACCCTTGCGTGGGCTGAGCACACCTGAGGAACGGGTGCCATGTGAGATGCGCACCAGAGGGGCCAGCAGCCCACGCTTGAGCGCTTGCTTTGTGCCGGGCACTTTTCTCAGTGCGTCCCTCGCATGCGCTCATGTAATCTTCCCGAGGAGCCTGGGGACGGCTGCTCCTCCTGCTCCCGTCCCACAGGCAGGGAGATGGCGGCTCTGAGAGGCTCAGGCTCACATGGCTGTGAGTGGAGGGGCTGGCAGTCCATCTCACTGCTGTGGCAGATCAGAGGCCAGAGCTGGGTGACCCCTCAGCTGTCCCCTCCGTCCCCTTGCCCTCCCATGGGCCATGGGTCATGGGTCTGTGGTCTGAGGGGGAAGGAGTCAGGGTGTCCACGCCGCCTTGTCAACCAGGAGCCGTTTCCGCTCTGCAAGCGCTCCCTGTCTGTACTGCATCCTCGCCCTTCCACCTGGAACAGTGGCCACCGCTTTGGTTTCCATGTGCCTTATGTGTCCCTTCACTGGCCTGTCATAGATGGTCCCTCCCAGCCTGTGTCCGTCCCTGGTATGGGCTGTCCACAGTGGTTCCTAACAAGCCTACCTCCAGATTCACCTCTGTACTCCTCACTCACTCCTCTCTATAATTTACATGTATTTATTAAGCACCTACTAGGTGCCCCAGCTGTTCTAGGCGCTAACGATACCATGACACAAAATGACAGACAAGGTGGCTGATCTGAGGAACTAATGTGCAAGTGGAGAGAAACAGCTGACATACCAGTGAGTTCACTTCAAATAGACACAGCACCGTGAGGAAATAAAGTAGAGTGAGTGACCCCGGGGGCGGCTGCTTTAGGTGGAGTCATCAGGGAGGGCTTCTCTGAGGAGGTGACATCCAAGCTGAGGCATGGAGCATGAGAAGGCGCCAGCCATGTGGGGATCTAGAGGGAGAGCATTCCAGGCATGGGCATCAGCAAATGCTAAGACTCACTTACTCCTTCAGCAGGTGAGTGAGCAGCAACTGTGTCCCTGCGCTGTGCCCAGGGCGGACACAGCCATGAGCAGGACAAGCCAGACCTTTCCCTTCGGAATCTTTCTATCTAGCAGGACAGGAAGTCATTAACTAGGCATGGCACGCACCGTTCCAGGATCACAGTTGGGCCGAGGGTCCACCAGGATGGAATGTCCCGAGCAGGGACGGGGTCTTCCTCTTTCCTGTAGGCTCAATGCCTAGCCCAGACAGGGCACATTATCAGCGCTCAGGAAGTGTTTGTCGAATGACTGAATGTTCTCTTGTTTCCTGCCTCTGCCCCCTCCAGCCACCCTGGGTGCCCTGGAGTTCAGCCTTCTCTACGACCAGGATAACAGCTCCCTGCACTGCACCATCATAAAGGCCAAGGTGGGTGAGAGGGCCCAGCCGGGAGTGCCTACAGGGGTTTCATTTAGCAGCAGCCTCCTCGCAGGAGCAGAGGCTGCCAGGCTGCTAGGGCAGAGCCGAGGCTCTGGAGGGGACTGCAGAGGTGCCGCCCGCCCAGGAGGCCACGGCGGCCCGATTGGACAGCTGGCATGGCCGCAGAACGGCTCCCTCGGCGGGGGTGGCCGTCCAGCAGGAGCAGCAGCCTGAGTCAGCCCATGGGTGCAGACACAAGGACACGAACGTGGGCATCCGAGGGGACAACAAAGACAGCCCCGGGTGGAAGACTGTCCCAAGGAGGGGAGTGCGCTGACCACATCCCAGACCTCGAGGGAAGGTGGTGAGGTCAGTGCAGTTCCCAGCAAGTCCCTGCCCTCATAGACCCAGCCTGAGAAGCGGACAAAAACCATCCCTGTCGCATTTCCTGAGTATTATATACCTTCTGGGGCTTTTTACAAATTATTTTTGTCTCATTTAATCTTTGTAGCAACCTCTGAGGAAGGTTCTGTCATCATTCCCACTTCACAGATGGGGGAAACTGAGGCAGAGAGAGATTCAATGACTTGCCCAGATCACACAGCCAGGAAGTGGTGGAGCTGGGATTTGAACCACTGAGGTCCAGCTCAAAGCCTGAGTTCTTACCCACGAGGTGGCCCTGCCAGCTCTCCCCACTCTGTGGCATCCTCTCCCCAGCTGGTGGTGGTCAACCCTGTTCACACGTACTAGTGCCAGGCCCAGAGCTCCGACTTCACAGGCGAGACGCCCTTTAATTCCTCCAAGAACCTCATGAAGCAGGGGCTGTGATCGGTCCCCTCGAACAGATGAGGAAACTGAGTTCCAAGGGGATCACAGGACAGGACACCTGGGGTTTGAGATTAGTGCTGAGCGGGGGGACAGTGGGAGCCCAGAGGTGGGACACCTGTCCCCGCCTGGGCATGGAGCCGTGGCCAGCGTGCGACCGAACCCCAGGAACCTTGGAGTCGCCCATGTTAACAAGCCCCTCTTAATTCTTACCCCAGACAAACTACCTTCCCCCCAGGGTCTCATTTGACCCTCATCCCAGCCCTGAGAAGGGGACCAGGCAGAGATTGTGGTCCCCATTATCTGGATGGGGAAACTGAGGTCTCAGGAGGGACTGCAGGGGCCAGGGCCAGAACTCAGGCCTCCGTCCCCCACCTCCCCTCCTCTCCTGCCCTTCCGGTTCTGGGATGCCCCTCCCACCCTGTGGTAACAATCCAACCTTGATGGAGCAATCCCCATGCGCCGGGCTGTGCTGAGCACTTCCCAGGTGTAAGCGCGTGTAAGTCTCGCCACTCCATGAAGCAGGTGCTGCTCCCATCCTGTTTGACGGGTGAGGAAAATGAGCCTCAGACAGGCTAAGAAACTTGCCGAAGGCCACACAGCCAGGAAGTGACATGACCAGGTTTTAAACCCTGTCCGCCCGATTCCAGAGCTCTTTCCACTCCATACTGCATTTCCCTCCTCCCTCTTCGGAAGAGGAAGCGCGTTGGGTGGGCCAAGGACGGGGCACACACTGCGGGCTGCGCCCAGGGCCCGGGACAGCTGAGCAGCCAGGCCTCCCGAGGCCCTCACACCACCGCCTGTTCTCTTGCAGGGACTGAAGCCCATGGACTCCAATGGCTTGGCTGATCCCTATGTTAAGCTGCACCTCCTGCCGGGAGCCAGCAAGGTACCATATGGCTGGGCCTCTGGGCAAGCCAGGCGCCCAGGCCCTGGCAGGCACCCAGGGTTCCCAGCTCCGAGCCTAAAATAGCCCTTTCTGCCCCCAAGCCCCCTCCTCCCTGAGTGGCAGAGTCCTTGTAAGGGCGGAGCAGGCAGGAGCTCTGCCCATTTGTCCAACCCAGAAACCTGGAGTCCAGGAGCTTCCGAAGGCCGGGAGGGGGGCGGGGAGCAGATGCCGCAGCGATGCTCTTCCCCTGCTCACACGCCTGCCGTGGCTTCCCAGTGCTGAGCGCGGCCCCTCTGCCCCTCCCATGTTACGCCCCAACCAAGCACTCCTTACCTCTCGATAGAAATGGCTAACTCTCTCCAGGTTTCACGGCTCAGCACGTGAGATAACTAATGTCCCGTCACTGAGACAGGTGCCCCTGCACTCTCTCTCCCCTTGCAGCTCACCTGACCATGGCTTTGCTCTGGGGAGGAATAGCGGGGCTGGATCTCCTCTCACCGGATGGACCCGCTCAGAGCACAGGCTGGGGAGTGTGCCTTCTTGGATTTGACTTTGGGCTTTGGCTTGTTAATCTGACGAGGATGTCCTAAATACTAGGGGGGCCATGCACTTGGTTGCATGATCTTGGGAAAGTGTGCGTTAAAAATCTCTGCAAGCATCAAATGCCCCCTTAAGACAAAAGAGGACACGCACGTGCACGCGCGCGCGCACGCACGCACACACACACACACACACTTTATCTACTCTTCCTTTTTTCGAGAAATAACAGTCCTTCACCTGGCCATGGCTGACTGTGAAGTGTTTGGCTACTACTTCTTCTAACTCTCTAGTGACATTTGCTTCTCTCTAAGGTGCTCTCCTTTGCTCACTCCTAAATCCAAACTTGCTTTGCCAAGGAATCCAGTGAATCATTTACATGTTAGTATGAATTAGATTTGTCACCAGCCCACCTCTTCTGGGTATAGGGTATTTCTAGCCTTCTCTCCTAGAGTAAAATGAAAAAATTTGTCCTCACCCCTAATGAATTTCAGGCATGAAAGATGCTATTTGCAGAAACATGGAACCTTCCCTTTGTTCTTTTACTGCCTAGGAGCAGGTGACTCTTACTTCTGCCTCTGTGACCTATGTAGGAGTTTTTTCCTCAAAAGGAAATGTCCCTGCTTTCTAATCTTGATGGAAAGTTCAGAGAGAGAGCCCAGTGCATGGGTGGGGGGCAGCTCAGCGTCCGTCCCCGTTGATGGCTGTAGTCATCGCCCTAGAGCTTGCCCCGTACTCCCTGCGCCCCAGACACGCCCAAAGGGAGTGTCTTCTAACTCACTCCCCCACCCCCACCCCCACCCCCACCCCCACCCCAAATCAGCCCAGAGGACTGTCTGCAGGGCTGGCTCCTCACAGAGGCGTCTGTCTGTCTGTCTGTCTCTGTCTCTCTGGGCTCCAGTCCAACAAGCTTCGAACAAAAACCCTGCGGAACACCCGGAACCCTGTCTGGAATGAGACTCTCGTCTATCATGGCATCACAGATGAGGACATGCAGAGGAAGACCCTCAGGTACCTGCGCGGCGGGTGGGCAGAGAGAGAGGGGACTGAGACACAGGTGGTCCCTGGCGGTCACTCTTGAAAACCTTTCTGCATACTTTTTTTTCATTCTTTTTTTACTTCTACAAAATAGTGTGTATTTCTGGTAGAAACTTCTAAGGCTACAGATAAGTGAAACTCTTAACAGCTTTGTGTTTGGTATCCAAGTCGTGTGTGTATGGGGGGGCGCACACGTGCGAAAGTTTCTTATAAAATGGAATGTTTTAAAAAACGGGCCATCCTATTAATCAGCCTGTCTTAACAACATGCTGATGCATCTCATCTCTTTCTACAATGTGAATACATGAATACATTCTTCTTGTAAAAACAAACAGAGAAGGCAAACGCCCCTTGAAATGTTAGTTCCCTCGCGCAGCCTGGGTCTGCCACCGCCTCCTGAGCCTCTGCACATGCAGACTCGTGTTAGCAACGTGGTAAGTCTCATCCCGCACACATCTGGAACCTTCCTTTCTTCCTAACAGTATGTCCTGGAGTTACAGCCATGAGAAGACATGTATGTCTACCTAATTGCAATTGCTTCAGAGTTCCCACAGAATGAATTGATTACAAATTTTTTAAAAGTTTCATTGTTAAATATTACAACTATACAGAAAACTGTAGATTATAATACAGCAAACACCCATGAACCCAATACTCAGTTTTTTTAAGTTGACTCTTGAACAACCCAGGCCTGAACTCCAACGGTCCACTTATATGTGCATTTTTTCTATAAATACTATACATGTATTTTCTTTCTTAATCTTAATTAATCTTCTTAATAATATTTTTTTAGCTTATTTTATTGTAAGAATACAATATATAGTACATATAATGAATGGAATATGTGTTAACTGTTTATGGTATTGGTAAGGCTTCTGGTCAGCATTAGGCCATTAGCAGTTAAGTTTTGAGGAAGCCCAAAGTTATACATGGATTTTCGATGGCACAAAGGGTCAGCACCTCTGACCCCCATGTTGTCCAAGGGTCAGCATATACCCATGTACCTACAAAAAGACATAATGTGAATATTCCATTGCAGCTTTATTCCTAATAGCGCAAAACTAGAAATAGCTCAAAGCCAAATGTCCATCAGTAGTGGAATTATTATGGTATATTTACACAATGGAATACTATACAGCAATAAAAACAACAAATTACAATAGACATGGATGAATCTCACATGCATGTTGAGCAAAAGAAGCCATTCAATTCCATTTATATAAAGGTCAAAAACAGGACAACGAACCCACAGGACCAGAGGTCAAAGACAGTGGTTGCCTTTGAAGGAGGTAGCAACAAGGGATCATGAGGGTCTTCTGAGAACTGGAATGTTCTATATCTTGATCCGGGTGGCAGCTACTTGGGTGTGTGCATGTGAACAATTCAGCAGGCTATGCATTTAAGATCTGTGTACATTACTGCTTATAAGTTATACTGCAAAAAAGTCAAAACGAAAACTACTTGGCTGAGTGCTCGATATATAGGAAATTGAAATGTTCCTACGCACGTGGCACCTTCCCGGCCAGCATCCACCACAGCTCTTGGTATGTACTAAGAGCTCAGTGTCTGCTCTGTCTCCTCTCCCCACCCTTTTTGGGGCTCACAGGATCTCTGTCTGTGATGAGGACAAATTTGGCCATAACGAGTTCATCGGCGAGACCAGGTTCTCTCTCAAGAAGCTGAAGCCCAACCAAAGGAAGAACTTCAACATCTGCCTGGAGCGGGTCATCCCGGTGAGTGCCTCTTCCTGAGGGTTCGAGGGCAGAGGGGCATTTTGGGGGTACTGCCTTCCTCAGGGCCTGCAGGGTGCCGGACAGCGGAGACGTGGCAGCTGCTGAGAGGAGGGTGAAGATTTCCGGTCAGAGCATCGGGGCCGTGCCCCGACCCTGCCTCTTACCAACCCCGTGTGAGCATCACTTCTCTGAATGCCAGGGACCTCGTTGGCAAAACTGGGGAGGGCAGAGCAGTGTGGCAGCATGGCCGGCCCGGGTTCAAAGCCCAGCTCTGCGACTCCCCTGCTCCCTGGCCGTGGCCAAGGGTCTGAGCTATTTCGAGCCTCCGCTTTTCTTGTCTGTAAATGGCCATTATAGCAACACTTGTCTCATGGGAATGTTGCATGAAAGACATGATCAGAACACAACCTAGTATATAGTGAGCACCCATAACTTGTTAGCTGTTGTTATTATAGGGATAATACTGCCCTACCCACCTGTCACTCATAAAGTCATAAAGCACCACGCAGGTAAGCATGAGGCAGCATAGCACAGTGCTAGAGCATGGGCTCTGGAGCCAGAGTCCCTGGGTTTGAATCCTGGCTCTGCTACTTGCCCTATAACCCGAGCCAAGTTACTTAACCCCTCTGGGACTTGTGTTCTCTGTAAAACAGGATAATAGAGTGCCAATCTCAGGGTCCTTTAAGGACTCATGCGAATGTACTTACAAAGCATGAGAACTGTTGTTGTTAGATGCAATACTTTTGAGAAAGAATAAGAACCAAACTGAGGGCCTCCCATCAGGCTACACCTCAGAACCAACTGGAGATTTTTAAATCAGAGCTTTAAAAACGAAGATCCTGACTTCATGAGGCAGGGTGGGGCCAACAATCTGTATTTTTAGAGAGAATCCGACCCGCCCTTTTGGACGCGTGGGCCTCCTGGGGCCCGGACCGAGGGGGGCGAGCTGCCCAGGTCACGCTGCCAGCCGGCGGCTGCTCTCGGCGCCAGCCGGCTCTCCCCCACCCAGGTCTCCTGCAGCCGCCGGCGCGCCAGCTCCCCAGGCGGGGGGCCAGCTCCCCATGGGGAAGTCGTGGCAGGTGGGAGGGGGCGCCTCGTAGCAACCTCCCACCAGATGGCTGGCCCAAGGAGGGCATATCCGTGTGCCGCGCACGGGTGTTTACGGCACAGGTGAAGGAACAGAGCGCAACAATGACGATGGCACGGAAGAATTTACACCGACTGCCAGGCTCCAAATAAATCACTGAAGGCAGCCCTGGGAGGGGAGCGTTTCCTCTAGGTCTTTGCCTGGTAACAGCGGGTTCCCTGGGCTTCCTCTTCCTTCCCTCACTCAGTGAGCCCAGTTGGTCCGGACAGTGGCCAGGCCCCCGCCTGAGCCCGCTGCTCCGGGGCCCGCCCGTCCTGCTCGGATGGACGCAGCCAGCCCCAGAGGCACGGAGGTGGCGGGACCAGGACTGGCCTCCGCTCATCGTCATCTTTTGCTCTTTGTCCTTTGTCCTCCCAACACCAACTCTCCCCCCGTCCCACCCATGTCGCCCACCAAGGACAGGGACTGCATAAGTGCTGTCCCGTCCTCCCCTCTGAACCCCAGTCCCCCTCGTCTCCAAAGCAGAGAGGCTGTCTTTAACCAACGGCTGTCTCCCCAGAGCCTTTGGCTCCCCCAAAAGGACCTCAGGAGCCACGGAGGGAGAAGCGCCCAGTGGCCCGACCCCAAGGCCCCTGCGCCACTGCAGCCAGCACAGGCCGAGTCCCATCTGTTGTATGTGTAGGGCGCTCCGCCACTTGTGGCTGTGTGACATTGGGCAAGTGGCTTAACCATTCTGATCTTCAGTGGCCTCATGTGTAAAATGGGGATATTAATACAACCTCCATCATAGGCCACGGTGCCCTAGCGTGGTCTGTCACGCGGTTAGTGTTAAGTAAATTTTAGCTGAAGCGGGGAAAGCTGGAGGGCCGCAGGAGCTCGGAAAGCCTGTCCTCGTGGCTCTGGATCCTAACAGAGGGGTGAGGGGCATCCGGGCCTTCTGCCTTAGGGAGATGAGCTTCATTGACAACATTCTCTTCCCTTTCTGTTTCCTCCAAAGATGAAGCGTGCCGGGACCACCGGGTCCGCCCGAGGCATGGCCCTCTATGAGGAGGAGGTGAGCACCGAGTGGATATCGAAGCCACAGTCCAGGCCTGGCATCTCCCTTTTCTTTCCCTCCCTGGCCCCATCCCTACTCTTGCTCCCCAGCCGCAGTCCTGTTGGGCCACATGAGAGCCACCCTTGCCCAAGGCATTGGGACATGGGACCAGGTGGATAGTCTTCCCACCTGGATCCCAAGGCGGGGGTAACCCCATCGTCTCGCACCGGGGACACCCTTGAATTCCTCGGCCTTGTTGGCAGAAGCCCTGCTGTGGTCCTGCAGGACTAGAGCAAGGCCACCGTCCCCCCGGGGACGTGCCGGAGGCTCTTTGAGCTGTGTGTCTGGCCAAGGCTGGGTTGGGCTGCACGTCTGTGCCTTCAACCCAGGTCTCTGCGCAACTGCATTGGCGAGACTGGCCGTCTCAGGGGAGTCTGAACTCAGAGTCAGGGAGCAGGCTCGGGCCAGGGTCAAGGCCCTGGCCTGGGGCAGAGTCGGGTTGTCGCTGACCAGGATCACACTCAACCTGCCCCCGGAGCCAGGGCTTAGCCCGTGTCTAGGTCCAAGGGAAACCACTGGTCTCCTGTGCCTCAGACTGGACCCCCTGCTGTCACCATTCACGGGTGGAGGGGGTGGGGGCGGCAGGGCGCTGTCCTTGGTGCTGAACGCGCTAGCACGCACCCAGCTCGTCCTCCTTTCCACAGGCCCTTCTCTAATGCTCCCATCCAGGTGCCTGGCGTGCTCCCTCCTACACTCACACGCCCTCTTCTCCTATTGCAGCAGGTGGAGCGCATTGGTGACATAGAGGAACGCGGCAAGATCCTGGTGTCCCTCATGTACAGCACGCAGCAAGGAGGCCTCATCGTGGGCATCATCCGTTGCGTGCACCTAGCCGCCATGGACGCCAACGGCTACTCAGATCCATTTGTCAAGCTGTAAGTCAGTGCCTTGGGACTGTGAGTGGGCCCCTGAGGGGGTCCTAGGTCCTTGTAAAAGGGAACTGGAGGGCTTCCCCAGCATCATTGCACACTGAGGCCCAGAGAGGGAAACGAACCCGCCCACAGCTGCACAGCAAGACGTGACCAGACCTGGCTGGAGTGTGAAGCTGGATTCTCAGCAGTGAGGCTGGTGTGTCGATGGCCCATGTGAGAAGTGTGTGGTTCTGTCCTTTCCTGTGGGAGAGAAACAGTTGGCAGGGTCGCAGCAACCCCCTGTGCAGCCCCTCAGAATCAGCAGCCCGCCCCACAGCCAGAGAAGCAAGCTGGCCCCTTCCACATTCAGTCTGGAAATGCTCAGAAAAAAAACTGTAGCCTTTGGAGGTTATCCCAGCGATCTCACTCGATCAGACGTTGTCGTCTGTGTCAGTCAGGGTCCTCTGAGGAAATGCCGCGATGGGATTAAACTGACAAGGGTTTCCGTAGGGGATGCCTGTGTGCAGGGAGGCAGGGAGAGTTGGGGAAAGTGGAGAGCCTTTCGATGGCCCCGAGTCTGGCCCCGCGTGAGGGAGGGGTGAGCAGAAGCATCCTACACACAACTTCAGCAAGGCCATCCGGGAGTCCTTAGGCCAAAATCGGCCATCAGACAAGCCCACGTCATCTAGGAGCGGGCCTGCCATAGTGTCCCCACCGCATGCAGTCAGCTGGGGGCGTGACTGTGGCACAAACATGGCGTGGATGTCCAAGCACAGCAGCCGGGGCCTCGCTGGGCTATGCTCCCTGTAGTTGGAGGTCCACCGGGCACGTTCTCACAACTGCCTTTGAATCAGACATGGGGTTCAATCCCCACCTCTGGAAGTTGCTAGCTGTGCGACTATAAGAAAGCTACCTAACCTCTCTGAGCCTCAGATTCTTCCTTGGTAAGATGGAGACGATAGTTCCACTTATTTCCAAGAATGGGCGTAAGACCAAATGAGAGAGCATATATAAAGCAATTAGATTTGTGCCCAGTACAGAACTATTTAGTGACTCTCAGCAGAATTCTGCCTTGCCTTGTGGCAGCAAAACATGTGTTTCCATGGATCCGGATGAGAGTTGGATCCAGGCTGCCTGGGTTTGAATCCCAGATCAGTCGCCTTCAGTATGCTCTAGCTGTGTGACCTTGGGCTTGTGTCTTAACATCTCTGGGGCCTCAGTGTTCTCATCTCTACAATGGGAAGAACGGTCCTCTATGTTAGGTCCTAGTTTCCCAGAAGCAGGAACCAAGACGAGATGAGATGGGCAGGGGATTTGTTGGGGAAAATGCCTGTGGAGAGAAATTAAGAGGGAGCCGCAGGAGGGCTGAGGAGGCAGCAGCCTGGGTCCGGGCGTGCTCCCCGAGGAGGCGAGAGGGAGGGGAGGTGCGCGGGCGGGCAGAGCCTTCGACTGCGGCGCAGCTCCCGGGAAGTTCCATCCAGGGTGATGGGGCACCCTTGAGCGCAAAGTCGCCCGTGGAAGCGACCCTGCATCTCTCAGAAACGGGGCCGCCTTGTGTCCCGGGGAAGCCTGGCGAGAACACTGCCCCTCCCCCTGCCGTTGGAGATGTGAGAGGCGCACCTCGGTGGGGTCTGGTATGTAGGAAGTGCTCAGTAAAAGCCTGTCATTTAATGATTTTAAGTAACTACCACCACTATTCTTACTCAAGGCAATGAGTATTTATTAATGTTCTCCCTCCTGTGGGAGACGCTTTGCCTGCCCCCCACCCCCGGCCTCTGATAACAGAAAAGAATGCTTCCCTTAAGCCCTTGGCTAAAACCAGGCCAGTGTGGGCTTTTCCTCAGATTTCCTTTGAATGAGGATTTAGTTAACAGAAGAACACACCTGGCAGGGATGAATTTGATTTCTGGGAGTAACTTGGTTTTATTTTCGCGTATGGTCTGATAGAGAAAGTTAGCTCACAGGCTGCTGTCCTGCACTCCATGAAATCCCAGCCACATGCAAGCTGGTCTTCGTAAATAATTCTCCCCTCCGCCCCTTCTCCCATCTACCAGTCCTTCTGGAGCGAGCGGAGTCGCTGTGTCCCCAGGGAAACACCCGCCCTGCTGACCACTGTCGGAAAGCACGCCGGGGGCCGTGAACTGCTTTCAGATCAGATAAAGATTTCGAAAGTCAGGCTTGCCCTTTATTTTTGCTCAGCCCTCGGTACCTTTCAGTGCCCCATTCGTATCTCCTCTTGCAAATTATCCCCCAGAACAATCTGGTGAGTGAGGAAGAAGGCTGTGCCCTCTCTCCTGACAGGCTTTTCCTGTCGTGCTCTGTAATGTTGAAGTCGCACTCGGGTTCAAAGTTGCAGTTAGTGATAGTTTGAATAAGAGCCCAATGTCACAATTCTTTGGAGGTTTTAACCCATTTTATTTATTTACCCAGAAAATATTAAGCACCTACTATGTGCCAGGCATTGTGCCTACGCCAGGGAAGAGCCTCCCAGGCAAAGGAAGCAGCATGTGCAAAGGCCCTGGGGTAGGAAGGAGAGAGAGGGGGAAGTGGGGTGAAGAGCAGGGCATGAGATTCAGCTGGCCTAGGGTAGGGACCCAACCTCCGAGGCTCTGAAGGCCCCATCAGAGATTGTGAACTTCACCCGCAGAGCAAAGGGAGGCCGTTGCATAGTTTGAGCAAAGGAGTGACGATGACAGTAATCAGATTTGCAGCTTTTTCCTTTTGTCTACACACACATGGCGAATCCCCAGGAGTGGGGCCAACCTCGGGGTGATAGATGGTGAAATGCCAGGCATAGCTACCCAGGGTCTCAGTTTGGCCCATTGAGAGCAAGTCCTGGCTAAGAGCACAGACTCCGGAGGCAACAGCTGGGTCCAGTCCCTGCTGTGTGGCCTGAGGCACCTGTCTAACTCCTCTGGACTCTCCGCTTCCTTGCAGGTAAAGTGGGTGTTTGTAGTTCTGCCGTCTAGGGTTTGCTGAGGGTGAAGGACAGCTCGGTGCCTCGTGCCGCGCCTGGCATCGGCTGCGCTCTCTGGCCACGGTTAGTGCTGATGCACTTCCCGGCTTGTCTGCCAGTTGCCCTCCTAACCCTGGGAGGAGCCTGTGGGGTCCTGTCACCAAGGAGCTGCTCTTATTCATTACACTTCACTCCTGACAGCCTCTCATGTCTCCTCGCAGCTGGCTGAAACCAGACATGGGAAAGAAGGCCAAACACAAGACCCAAATTAAGAAGAAAACCTTGAATCCTGAATTTAATGAGGTAAGGCTGCCCCATTTTTGACGTGCCATGGAATATTTCCTGTGTGTGAGAGAGGAACAAACTATCTACTTGAATGTTGTCAGGCACATAAAAAACAACAAACACCCTTTCTTTCACAGATCAGCTTGGGTTATCTAAAGGACAGTAATGAGTTTCCCATCACTGGAGGGAATCAAGCCCAAAAAAACAAAAACCTATCGATTAGGCAGGAAGCTGAGCTTGAAGAGATATAGAATTAAATCATCTCCAATATTTTCACCAATTCCAACAGCCTGTAATGCTGAAATTTGAGGGAATAAACAGGGACAGTGATGCCCTTTCCTGTCCACCTAGTTGGTGTGCCCTGCCCCTCTCCTCCCCCCCACATCCATCCAGGACGTCAAGCCTCGCTAAAGCCACTGTCTCGATCCCCACTGAATGTGCTCCTGTCTCTGTGTTCACTCCGACTGCCGAGGCCTAGACGCCGGCGTTTCATGCCTGGACCGTGGCAGTGGACCCTGACTCACGTCCCTGCGCTTAGCCCGTCCCCCATGGAAGCGCGAGCTTCTCACGCACACATCTCGATTCGCCACGCTCCTGTCACCGCGGATGTACACGTGGCTTAGCTACAGGGGCGCCTTCCATTGCGTCATTAGGTTACGGCACAGCCACATAACCACGAGGTGAAGCCGTGGCAATGGTGATGCAGAAAAGTATTTGCAAGCCTGCTACGCTGTTCTTTGCCATGTGTTGCATAAAATGGAAAAAGAAAGCCACGATATGGTATATTCATATTATATTTCACGTAGTAGGACATACAAATATTTTATATACTATGATATTCTAATTACTATTCATATTAATTTCTTAAAACACAGGAGACATAAGCACCTTTTCCTCATGTCCTTCTCAGTCCCTTCAACTGCCTTTAATCTCTAAGTGGTGACCACAGGGATAGCCTCCTTTAGAAGCTACCAGAATGGAAGGACTGAGTTCATGGCTAGCTGCCTTCAAGGAAGCTTGACCAGAACCAGCTCTCCTGGTAAAACTCTGCCAGCCTTCCCGACTCCAAACAGAGAGTCTCAGAGAAGACCGTCGCAGGGCCTGAGGGACTCGGATGTACAGAATGTTCGTTGAAAAGGGACCGTCAGGCCTGGTGGAGAGGCGCAGTGGGAAGGCCCCCTTGCACCCACAAAGCCTGGTTCCAGGGCCTCTCGGCTCAGACCCCAGAGGCTCAGGGGACCCTCTGACTCCCATGTCCTGCTCTCTTGCATCCAGGAGTTCTTCTATGACATCAAACACAGTGACCTGGCGAAGAAGTCACTGGACATCTCGGTCTGGGACTATGACATTGGCAAGTCCAACGATTACATCGGTGAGTGCGCCCAGCCCGTAAAGGAAGCCCCGCCCTCTGTCCCCCGCCCCGGGAGAGGAGAGCCTTCCCCCTGGGCTGCCCGGCCCAGAGGGCCTTGCCTTTCTTTTGGCGACCACATCATCCAAACACCGGGCCAGAGTCCAGGGTTCCCTCTGGGGTCCAGTCTGAGAACCTGCCTTCAGGGAAAGGGCGCACGAAGCTGGGAAGATCGGATAGTGGCTGCTTCATTGCTGAGCACGTCACCTCCAGCAGAATAGTTACATCGCGGGAGCGTGGGGTCTGCAGCTCTGCAGAAAATGGGTTGCAAAGAGGTCTCCATCTATTTGCAGGTCAGGGATGAAGGTTCCAGTGCTCCCAGGCCCCCTCCAAGTGATGAGGGACAGCAGTCATGGGGGGTAAGGCAGGATGTGAGCGAAGGTGCAGGGGCAGGGCCGAACAGGCAGCGGAACTCATGGGAAATAGATGGCGCGTTTCTAAGAGCAGCAGGAGATAAGTTTCCATGGGGGGGTAGTGACTTGGAGGAGGTCTTTAAAAAGAGACAACTTGACGCTACACGGGGGAGCCACTGCAGCTTCTTGAGCAGGCAGTCCGCAGGCGGAGGAGGCCAGTAGTAATACCACCACCGTAACAACCTCCCTCCAGAGAGAACAGGTCCCGAGGCGCTGGAGGGGGCATCCCTGCTTGGTGGCAGTTTTCTCCAATTAGACATGTGGGTCTAGAACGAGAGTCCCATGTGTCCCTCTACTCTGACCACCTGTCCCTATCTGCTCTTGTCCATCCAGGAGGCTGCCAGCTGGGGATCTCAGCCAAGGGAGAGCGCTTAAAACACTGGTACGAGTGTCTGAAAAACAAGGATAAGAAGATCGAGCGCTGGCACCAGCTACAGAACGAGAACCACGTGTCGAGCGATTAGGATGGTGCCCCGGTCCCTCACCCCCTGCCCAGGTCACCCCCCGCCCCAGCCTGCCCCAACAGCCCATTGCACTCTGGTCTCTCGTCTCTACGCCTCACAGCCCGTCCCCCGCCACCCTCCCTGAGCCTCTCTTGGGGTCCCCCCTGACCTTGGGGGCCGCCACCAAGGACCTCCGCTTCCCTCTGCCACGCTGCTGCAACGTGGGGTCTGAACACAGCCCCTTTCTGGTCTCCCCAGGACGGAGCAGTGGGGTAGGGATGGGGAGATTTTTACAAGGAGGCTGTTCATTTAACAACCTTCCCATTTGGGTAGTTACAAATGGTTTTCATCATTTAGGACTCTTTTTAGACCTACCCCCCGGCCTCGAACAGAGGCACGCGCACACAACTCGCACTTCCTGTGTCACTTCTGTGTATCCCCTCAGTACTGTGGGGACCTTGTATTTGGGGGCAGACATAGGACATCCAGGCCCCCACCACCTCTGCACATATACACCCCAGTCGCCAGGGAAACGGGCCACCGTGTTTAAACTCCCTGGGGACCAGGAACACACCCTCCCAGCTCCCAAATACTTCAAGAAGTGGACATGCAAAATACACAAAGGGACTTTGGTAACTTCCTCTTCCAGGACGTCACCTGTTTGCTTCCTAGCAAAAAATGACCCCTGTTTTCTACCCCCCTCCAGTCCTGTCCACCACACGAAAGTCTCCCTTTCTACCCTCATCTTTCCCTCCCCCTCACTTCCTCTCTAAAGAGGTTAAATAGCAAAAGCAAAAAATATCCTGACACCGCCTCACCCCCTTGCTTCCTCTCGCCAGCCTGACCAGCAAACTCAGAAGCTGGCAAAACCTGAAATTCCACCTGGACCCTCCTTCTTCAAACCACCCACTTCCCCTGTCGGCACAGCCAGGTGGCCTCGGGCTGAGGGCCGCCACTGCCCCAGGTGCCTGGCCGGTCCTGCAGGCTGTGGGGGCCCCCACAGAGAGGCTTGCTCAGCCCCCGGCCTCCCCAAGTGCACGCAGAAGGTGTCTGGAAACCAGAGCTCTGGGTCCAAGGCGGCCTCGCCAAAGCGCCGCCCAGTGTTCGGTTTCTGCTTCCACTGCTCGCAGTTAAATGAACCTGCAACCCGGGTCCCTGATACTCTGACTCACGCCTTTGACACTCTCACTCAGAGTTTCCTCGGATCTGTCTCTCTCTGCCTCTGCCTCTCCCACCCTCTTCCCCAGCTGGGTCGGAAGAACAGAGGACCGACATCATGGGTCTAGAACTTCAGCAGGTGACAGCCTGATGCTAAAGGCTTTTAGTCCATCCTGAATCATCCAGTCTTTTTCCTAAAAAAATAAAATAAGGAGAAACAGGCGGTGAGGACACACACACATTGGAGGTTGGGCTTGGGCAGCCTTTGGCGCCCTGTGTAAAAGTCTCGTTTTTTCCCAGTCGCCCTGTGAAAAGCACCCACTCTGTCCGCAGCCCACCACCTTCTGCGGATCCGTCAGATGGACTCTCAGATGCTCATTTTCTCCACATACCCCCTTCAGCCTTCCCTTTCCGCATTCTCCACCCCCAGGCCTCTGCGCAATTCCTTCGAAGTCACTGATTCCTTGTCCCCGATAACCATTTTCGAAACAGCAAGTTCTCTGCCTTCCCCAAGATGGCTGGCAGCTTGCCCCCACGCCCCTCCGTCCAGCCCCGGCGCCCCCTCCTTCCCACGGCCTGCCCTTTGGAGAAAGCATGCTGGCTGCGTCGCCCAAGCCTGACGCTGGTCTTGGCGCTGGAATCAGCATGTGGCAAGCTCACAGCGCCCGCGGTCCGGCGCGCGTGCTCTCCGCTGCCCCCACCAAGTAACCACCCCCCTGCCTAGGAAACACACGCCCTCTGGTGCATGCTGAACCGACCGCCACATTTCTTTGTGATGATGTAGCCAAAAATAAAGTAGGAATATCCAGGAACACTGGTGGCCTGCGCTCTTCCTTTCTGGTTTCTGGAAGTTCTTTCTCCCCCACCCCACCAGGATATATGATGCTCCTTGGATAGTATTTCATGAGCATCTACTATGTTCCAGCCACTGGAGATACAGTGGTGAGCAAGGAAGGCCTGGTTTCCACCCTGGGGAGTTTGCTTTCTGGTGGGTTTCGTCTTGGGCAGGTAGGCTCAAGGCGACTTGTCTGACCCCACACCCTCTTAGGAGAGTGCCTTGTGCTGGTGCCCACCCACCAGCCAGGCAGCATCCTCACCTTCTCCCTACTACCGCAGTCTTGGGGGGCAGTCCCAAATGGTTGTGCAATCAGAGAAGGTCAAGAATGGAGGACATGGTAGAATTGATCCAGGGCCAACTTTAATCAGCTCACTCACCTGACACGTGAACCCAAAGCCCAGAGGAGGAAAGGTCTCATCACAGCAACGCCAGGAAGGGCGCTGGATCATTGGCCAACCTTGACACCCTGACTCGTACTAATGAGGACCATCAGTCACCTCCTTTGTATCTAGCACCTCCCATCCTGCAATGAGCCTTCAAGATGGCTCCGTCTCCCTCGAGACTCAACAGGCCACAAGGGAGCTGAGTAAGGAACTAACCCTTCAGTCAGATTCTTAATCTCACTATAATCCATCCCAGAGGTGCTCGGGCAGTTTATCAGGAATGTTGGGTGCTTCCCAGAAGAAGCAGTTAATTCCATCCAACAGAAACTTCTCTTCCAGGCCAAGTTTGAGACAAGTTCCTGTTCTTACCTGCAAAAGGGTGGTTCTCAATGTGAGGCAGAAGTCAGTGATGCAGAATCCGCTGGGGAGGCGTTTTCCTTTCAATCCACCCAGGCTCCACCCACCACCTCTGCTCAGTCAGATTCTGCAATGTCCTGGGGACGTGGTGTCTATGCTTACACCCCCATGGCAGTTGCCCTGAAGTCCTGTCTTTCCTACGATTCAGCTACCTGCCACCGAGTGGAAAGAGGTGCCCATTAAAGCCACACAGGCCTTCCAGGAATGGCAGGCCATGCTTCTTGCCTCTCTCCTCCTGGGCTCATGGCAGACATCACTAATCAATATGGCATCTTTTCCTTGGAGCCTACTAGCAGCCTCTGAATCTTTCTTAACACAGCAATCTAGGCAGCCGCCACCACTCAGTCATGGGCAGTTGAAAAGAAATGGATTGCCACCTCAAAGCATTTGTCTCTTCCCCAGGCATGGGGACATGCCAAAGAAGCAGAGAGAAAGACACAAGGAAAAGTAAATATCAGTTCATCTGACTTGGCTAATTATCTTCCCCCCCCCGCCCCGCCCATTGAAATAAAACAGAGGCAACATGATGCCACAGAAAGCACCGAACCAGAAAAGCACACCAGCCTCTTTCCCCACTCAAGTCCAGCATCCGAGTCGTGACTGGCTGTCGCTTTCCAGCTGTGCAGCCTGACCTCCCTGAGTTTCAGATTCCTCACCTGGAAAATGGGGACAATAATAAATACTTCCAAAGGGTAAGGCCAAGTTCCAAGGTGTGGTCTTCCAACAGGCCTGACTCAAAGTCCCCTGAGAAGTCCGGAACCACCTGTCTTGTGTAAAACACACAAGGATGAGTCATCTGGAACTTCCTATTCCTGTGTCTTTCAAGGGAACAGGAACTTAAAGCCGCCTGCAAAGGCATGAGGGCATAATTCTGGAGGCTTCCAATTATTTCCTCAGTCATTTACAGTTGTCTCACTCTTACCTAATTCTATGCAACGCCTTGTGAAACTTGCCTTTATTGCATCCTACAAGAGTTCAATGTTGGCTTTCTAACAACACGTCTTTTTTGCACTTATGTTGAATCTAATATATGTATTTAGACAAAAGTAGACATTTTATTAGCAAATACAATTCCTTGAAAGGCATTTGGGAGCAAACAGGATCTTTATTATACATACGGTCCAACCAGTGGGCAAAGCAAGTGTTCCACAGACGGATGCCCACCCTTCCATGGTTACGTTTTACCTTAAGCAAAAGCCGACATGGCATACAGGAATGGAGAGTGTCAATTAATTGATGAGCTGGTTAAGAGAAGGGTCCCTGGCCCTGATCAGTGTGGCTCAGTGGGTTCGGCATTGTCCTGCAAAATGAAAGGTTGCCAGTTCGATTCCTGGTCAGGGCACATGCCTGGGTTGCAGGTTCGGTCCCCAGTCAGGGCATATACAAGAGGCAACTGATCGATGTTGCTTTCTCACATCAGTGTTTCTCTCCCTTTCTTTTTCCCTCCCTTCCCCTCTCTCTAAAAAAAAAAATTTCCTTTTTAAAAGAGAAGGGTAATTAAGAAAGATAGCTAATGAGCATCTATACACTACTTCATCCAATAATAACAGAATACACATTCTTCTCAAGCACACACAGAACATTTACCAAGCCAGACCACATTCAAGCCACAAAACACGTCTTCTCACACTCTAAAGGATGGGTATCATCAAAGTATACTCTCTACCACAATGGAATTTGACACTAGATCAATAAAAGAAAGCTATCTGGAAAATTCCAAAATAGTTGGAGACTAAATAACACACTTTTAGCTAATACATGGGTCAAAGGATTCTCAAGAGAAATTTTAAAATATTTTGCACTGACAATGAAAAAAACAATCAACTAAAAGGGTGGCCATGCTTAGAGGGAATTTCCTGCCATTAAATGCATATATTAGAAAAGAAGAAAGATCTAACCAAGAGGAATGAATGAGTGGAACAAGGGGAAACTATTCTACATGACTTTGTAATGGTGAGTACACGCATGATGCATTTTGCAAACCCAGGAAGTGTACAAGGAGTAGATCCTAATGGAAACTCTGACCTTTGTTCAATTAATGAATCAGTATCAACTCACTACTTATAACAAATGCACGTACATTGAAAATAGTAGAAATTATGGGTGGAAGGAGAGGAGACATATGGGAATTCCACACTGTCTGTCCAATTTTTCTGTCAAACTAAAACTGCTCTAAGAAATAAAGTCTATCAACCAAGAGAAAAAAGGAGTATAGTATGATGCCACTTTAAAAAAAAAAAAAGAAAAGGGAAAGGAAAAAGAACTATGAATTTTCGTGTGTATGTGTGTGTTTACCTATAAAAATATCTGTAAAGATCTATACCTAGATGTTCATAGTGGCCATCTTTGAGGTTTGGGGTTATAAATGGGGTTTTATGCTTCCTGAGTTTTTTGACCTTTTCCCTTTTTCCTTTTCCTTTGTTGTAAAGATTGTACAAGACTATAAAAAATAATTTTGTCACAACAACTAAAAAATGGGAAGAAGAAAATAAAAAACCAGTTTTGAGTCCTTACTTCTCTAATGGGGGTTAGAAAACAATGTTTTCGGAGTACAACTGCGAGAGGGGCAGATGGTAAAGGCAGAGTGTGAGTTTCTGTGCCTGGAGGGACAGTCCCCTCAGTGTTTGTTAGGAAGCAGGGATGTAGCTCCTCCCTTCCCAGGAAACGAAACCTACAGCAGCTCAGACTTGAGCAATAGAAGAGAGAACCACCATCAGCTTCCTTCAGCCACTGGCTTTCCTGTCCCCAGTCGAGCATCACAATGGACCTCCAAGAGACCTCGCCAAGGATCTGGACAAGTTCATCGAAGACCAGCTCCTGCCAGACAGTGTTTTCCGAGAGAGGGTCGATGAAGCCATTCACATCAGCTGCAGTTTCCCGAAAGAGAGGTGCTTCCTCTGAGGTGACGGCCACCCGGTCCGTGTGTTGAGGGTGGTAAGGGTGAGCCCACCTGCCACACGGAGGCAGGGATGACTGAATGGGCAAGAGTGTCCACAGCGAAGGAGAGAGAGCAAAAAAAGCTGAGGTCTTTGGGGCTGCTGATTGCAAATTGATCCATCCCAGAAATGCACCTGCAGCTTGTAGCCTGTGAAAATAGTGTCTGGGGGCAGGCCCTATGCCTGTAATTTTTTCACAAATGTCCATGTGAAGTTCATGAACCACTGTCCCAGGCCATGTCCCTTTCCGAGATAGGGACACTGAGGCCCAGCTCTGATCAACAATCTGCTAATTGCTGAGGACTCACCATTTCTGCAGTATCAGGAGCCGATTAAGAGTATAGGTTTTGACAGGGTGGTGATTACCTGAGGTGACTGCGGGGGAGGGGAGGACGGAGAGGGTAAAAACGGTCAAATACAAGGTGATACAAGGAGACGAGGCCTGGGGGCTGAGCACACAATAGCGTATACAGATGCTGTATTACAAAGTTGCCCCCCTGAAATTTATATAATGTTATAGTAACGACCATTACCCTTAATAAATGTAATAATAATTTCAGAGAGAGTATAAATTTTAAAAGCAGATAGTACCTACTGGCTGTAAACCTCAAGCAAGTCACTTAACCTCTCTGGGCCTCAGTTTCCCCATCCATGATGCCCAGTACCTTAGAGGGCTGTGCAGATTAAGTAAGCCACCCAGCCTGGGCCAGGCTACAGTATGTAATGACATAAGAGAGTAAAGGCCAGGCAGTGAAGAATACAGACTCTGGAACAAGGCAGCTGGGGTTTGAATTGAGTCTCTGCTACCTATTCACTGTGGCTCTGGCTGATACAATCTCCCGGAGCGTCTGCAATGTGGGAACCAATAATAATGGTGCCTAAAGAGCAACGTCCTTGGGAGCATCTCAGGAGTCAAACAAAACTGTAATGCCCTCGGAACTGGGGCTTGTGCTCAAGAAAGTCAGTGAGTGTTCTCATCATGCTCTTCAGGAAGGCTCTTAGCAATAGACGTTAGTTCCCATTCTCCTCCTCTGTTTTGATCACCAAGAAGAGTTCATCCAGGAAATCAGAAGAAAGCTGGAAGCCTGTCAAAAAGAGAGAATTTTTGCAATGAAGTTTGAGATCCAGGATAAGGGAACAGGGAGAACCACTGAGATGCAGAGTCGTAGGTGGGGGAATCCCCACCCGATGGGGACCCCTCGCTCACTCAGCTTCACGCTCTGGTCCCAGAGCTGTCCCCAGAGGGGGTGGAATTTGATGTCCTGCCCACCTTTGATGTCCTGGGTGAGTGCCCCCAGACATGAGAGGCTTCAGCCTCTGTCCTATTTCAGGGCTTCTTTCTCTCTCTTTTCATATTTCTGATCAGAAAACTTTCACAGTCTGGAAGTCCTCCCCAAACAAGGCATCCCTCTAAAATGGGGAAGAGATCTTAGATTCTCTTCGAGGTCAAGAATGAAGGAGGTCTGACCAGTCACAGGGGTGACATTAAACAGTGAATTGGCACAATTTAGGAGCAAGGCATTTCTTAGTGACCCTGCAAGGCAAAGTGGTTTATCTTTCTAAAAATGAGGGAGCCTAGATCTGGCATAAAGTCAACATGTTAATTTCATCTTTTTCTCAAAACATGAGGAAGCCTCATCAAACTTACAATGAAGGTTGGGATCTATGTGCGTTTGCACGGGAAGCATAACCTATTGGAGGCCCAACCCCCACATAAGGGAATCTGGTAAGACCACACTAGCTACGTCATACGATTATTTTAAGTATTAAATGATCATCTACATTAAGCTCTTACATGAGTCTGGCACCTAGTAGGTGTTCAAAAATGGGAGTTCCTTACCTGTGCACCAGGGCACCTCAGGACACCCCAGTGAACTATCTCACAGGGGTGTGTATGTAGGAACAGCTTAGCCTTCAAATTTCTGAGGGAAACACAGCGCCATCTGTCAGACACTGTGCAAACTGCTAGTATTAAGTTGTAGGGACCGATGTGCCTCATAAATAGAACTGTTAGGGATTTATTGCCCTCTGGCCCAGGGGATGCGTGAGAAACACACCGAAACTCTAAAAGCACCGGGAATGAAAAAAGCCTGGGACCATCTCCTGGTTGCTCTGTGCTCTGTTGGCCGCTGGGGTGTAATGGTTCCCCCTCCAAAAAGTAAGATTATAATAGGGGAGCGAGAAGATGAGGCAGCTCAGGCCAGACGGAGGGACCAGCACAGGCAAAGGCCTAGAGGTTAGAGAGGATCCACGTGGAGCAGGGGAAATGCAAGACGTTGAGGGCGAATGGAGGGCAGAGGGCAGGGAGGATGTGACCAAGAAGGCAGCCCGAGCAGCGGATCCGGCAGAAGCCCACACGCTTCGACGGCAGCGCGTGGGAGAAGGGCGGCCGGAGGCGCTTCCCACTGCACCAGGGCCAGTGAGCTCGTCTCCCCAGGGCGACTCTAAGAACCTCAGGGCAGAGCTGACATCTTACAGTTATGGATTCACCCCTAACAGGTCAGGTGATAAAAGACTACAGACCTGACCCCCAAACCTACGTCAAGCTCATCCAAGAGTGCGAACGCCTGGGGAAAGAGGGGGGGTTCTCCACCTGCTTCACAGAGATGCAGCGAGTCTTCCTGAAGCAGCGCCCGCCCAAACTCAAGAGCCTCATCCGCCTAGTCAAGTACTGGTACCAAAAGGTATGGCCACCCTGTCCAGACAGGAGCGGAGGGGCGGGGGGAAGGGGAGGGAGGGGAAGAGGAAAGAGAGGGGTGGGGGAAGAGAGGGGTAAGGCAGCAGGGGAGGAGAGGGCAGAGGGGAGGGGAGGAGAGGGCAGAGGGGAGGGGAGGGGAGGGAATGGGAGAGGAACGAGGAGGGGCACAGATGAGAAGAGGAGGGAGGAGTAGAAGGGGCCTGGCTTCTAAGACTATAATTTCATGCTCTTCTTTCCTTTTTTTGAATATAATATTCCCAGTTATTTCAAAGCCCTGTATTTGATCCTTCAATATTTAAAGTTTTGTGAATTTATTACAATTCTCTCTTTTGTTTTCTGCTGGTCCTCACTGTTGGTGTCCTGTGTCATCGTGTGCCTGGTTATTTGTGTGCTGGTCACCGTCCCTGAAGTGATTTGTGAAATAATTTGAGGCTTTGGATAACATATCTTCTGCAGAAGGAATTTTGTTTGGTTCTGTAAGACACTGAGGGACACTTCAAGTGCTTCCTCTCAGTTAATTTTCATAATATCTTCATGAAGTAGAAGCTATTATTACTATTCACTTGGCAGATGAGAAAAAAATGAAGCTGAAAGAGTTGTCTCCCCAGAATCTGAGTTGTCTGCCCAGAATCAGATAATGGTGGAGCCCGGATTCAAAGCCCCATCAGCAAGAACCCAGAGCCCAAGCCCTTATCCAGGGCTCAGTGAGCGTTTTCCATAAACAGCGAGGTAGTAAATAATATTTTAGACTTTGTGGGTCACGTGGTCTCTGTCTTACCTACTCAACTCCTGCCTTTGGAGCACAAAGGCTCCCACAGAGGATCCGTAAGTAAATAGGCGTGACTTCGCACCAAGAAAACTTTATTTCCAAAAACAGGCAATAAGCTGGATTTTGCCCATGAGAAAGGTGCCTCACACAAAGCTGGACAAACCCACTTTCCTGGTTGGTTTTCCTCTTCTCAGTGTAAGAAGGACGTTGGGGAGCCCCTGCCGCCTCGGCACTCTCTGGAGCTCCTGACAGTCCATGCTTGGGAGCGTGGAAGCAGGGAAGCAGACTTCATCACGGCTCAGGGTTCCAGACCGTCTCGGAATTAGTCGTGAACTACGGGAACCTCTGCGTCTACTGGACAAAGTATTACGACATTAACCATTCTGTGATTGGTCCATACCTGAGGAGGCAACTCCAGAGACCCAGGTACTCTATCCCCACAGGGCTTAGCCCCCCACATAGATGGACCCCCAGATACAGCTGCAGTGCCTTGGAAATGAGGAAGTGGGAGGCTCCACGCGTACCGGTCATTGTCTGCCAACCCTTGTGCCAGGCACTTGACCTTGACCGCCACCTGAGTTAAATGCCCCCTGACCCAGTGAGGCAGCCACTGAGCTGGCCGCTTTGCAGATGAGTAAACTAGAGTTCTGAGAGGTAAGGAGCTGTCCAGGCCTTAACAGAAATGAGCGCAGCAGCTGAACTTTGAACTGAAATAACAACAGCTACAGCAGTAGGAATAATTTTTCTCAGGGACAAAAAGCTTGCTCTAAGGCTAACACATTCTAATATAATAGTAAAAATAATCTTGATTCTGACCGATACGTATTGACCTCTTCTTATGCTCCAAGTACCGTGTGGAGCATTCCAGACCCCTTGGCTTGGCGCTTCTACCCCAGCCTTTGAGGTGGGCATGTTCAACTGACCCCGTTTCGCAGATAAGGAAACTGAGGCTTAGAGAGCTCAGTTTGACCAACCCAAGGGCACGCCACTAATCGAGGGCAGAGGCGACATTCAAACTCAGGTCTGTAAGGCCCCAGTGCGAAGCTCCTTCCCCTGGGCTCTCTGCCTCCCACGCAGCAGGGCCCTGAGGACCTTCCTCCCACGCCGAGCCCCACCCCGCGCCAGGCTGGTCGTGCGCCGTTGCAGGAGCACCTAGACTCCCTGTACACAGCCCAGCTCCTCGCCTGTCCCCCTCTAAATGTTGCTCTTCAGGCCTGTGATTCTGGACTCAGCTGACCCTACAGGAAACGTCGGTGCTAACAGCCCACCAGAGAGCTGGGAGCGACTGGCAAGAAAGGCTGGTGTCGGGCGGACTTACCCATGCTCTAGGAAACGGGATGGGTTTCCATGGACCCCCGGCCCATACCTGGGAGACCTTCTGCTTCCTCCCGGTCGTCCTTCCCCCGCCCCTCCACACAGCCTGGGGCATGCAGCTGGCGACCCTCCTTCCCCAGGAAATTGCCCCTTGCTGGAGGTCGCTCATGCTCAGAGTTGCGGGCTGAGCTCCCTATTTTACGGTAACTTTCCAGTCACGTTGACCCCAATCAGGGGGTTCCTAGAATTGTCACATCCTTCGTTCAGAGTTCATTCTTTAATTAACGCTGCCTTGGCCGAAGGTCACTTATTTAACAACCCCAGTTGGCTCGCTCTAAGAATAGTAAACATGGCAACCACTGCTCATGAATACTTGCCTTGGGCCCAGATACTGTCCTAAGCCCTTCGACACACGTGATTTTATTCGGTCCTCCCAAAACGTAATGAGGTAGGTTTTCTACTCTCATCCCAGACATGAGAAAAGGAGGCTCAGACAGGGAGCCCCCTACTCAAGGGCGTTGGGCGAAGGAGTGGTGGAGCTGGGGTTCAAACCCAAGGACCCCACCGCTCGTGCTTATTCCACGGTGTGATCAGCCTGCCTTGCACCCTGCTGCTTGGACCCTGCTAAGCAGGAGGCTCAGAGCAGCTGGGTGAGGTGGGCATGTCACACGGCTGGTAGGGACAGGACCTCTGGAACTGGAAGGTTTCCAGTCCCAGGGTTTGGGTCTTTCCCCTGCTGGGGGACGGGCGACGTCATAGGGGCTCCCCGGGAAGCAGGCTCCCAGAGGGTGTAGGGTGCGCAGGAGCCACACCTGCGGAACGGAGGGGAAGGTAGCCGCATAGGCACAGGGAGGAGTCCAGCAGGGACGCCGCAGCCCAGTGACAGTGTCAGCCCACCCCCTCGCCCCGCCTCCCGGAAGCCCCGGGGCTCCAACGGCCTTCGGAGCTGCCCTACGGCTGTGTGAAGGGGTCACGCCCTCTACCCCCAGGAAGCAGCCCCCGAACGCGGGCACTCGGGAAGGGGCGTGCTCTCAAACAAGGGGCTCCGCGCAGCGCCGGCCACCCTGCAGGGGCTGGTCGCTAACGTCTGTTCGCTGACGGCCTCTCCGGCAACTGGGACTTGCCGATCCTTCTTCAAGGAGGATCCAAGTGACAAGTCACAGAGTCCACCGTAAATGCCGAGGCGGGGCGACCCACTCTCCAATGCGACCATGTGCTTTATTTACTCTTTCAGCTCCAAGAAGGCAGCAAAGATGCCTGGAAAACCTGTTGCTCCTAAGATATGTCAGCTCCACGGTTACCAACAGCGCCCTGGGTCCCTTCGCAGCCACAGCACCTGCCGCCCCTCCCCAGGTGGAAGGAGGATAACCGGAAAAACAGCGCGCCTGCTGCCTCCCGCGTGCAAACCAGCCAGTCCTCAGCCTGCTTGCCCTGCCTTGCCTGTCCCGTGGGAACCATGATAAAGGTTCTTGCGCGTGTGTCCCCCTCTCGCCCTCTGCCCCATGAACAACCCTAGTGCTTCCCCATGTGGCGACTGTGCCTCCTATTTGTAGGGGCCTGTGAATATAAATGTCTTCCTTCATGACAACATTAACAAAATAAATCATTTAAAAAAAACAAACCCTCCCACAGTCCCTCCCTCCAACCTGTTAAAATTTGGGGCCCGCCTCCCTGTGCATGTAGAGTTTTTATACAAGTGGGGTTCTGTCTCCTACCTACCTTTGGTACCTGCTTTGTCACGTTTACTGCTCCCCGCTAAGGAAGATGTGGGCATCGTGTAACGGCACCATTGCATTTTGCCACGTGGATAGTGCACCTGTGCTGTCGTCTGAGCATTTCAGGATGATAAACAATGTTACAGTGATCAGCAGATTTAGCTGAATTAAGAATTAGTTGCTTAATTGAAAAGCCACATAGATCACATGGTAGTACTTATTTTAATTTTTTGAGGAATTCCCATACTGTTTTCTCCAGCAGCTGCACCAATTTGCCTTCCCACCCACAGTGCATGAGAGTCTCAGTTCTTTCACATCCTCACCAATGCTTGGGTCTTCAGTTTGTTTGTATTTTTAAGTATATAGTAGCCATTCTAACAGGTGAGGGGTGATAGCTCATGGTTTTGATTTGCACTTCCCCGATGATTAGTGATGCTGAGCATCTTTTCATATACTTGGCCATTTGTATGTCTTCTTTAGGGAAATGTCTATTCAAGTGCTTGGTCATTCTTTTTAATGGAGTTATTAGTTTTGTTTTTGTTTTTGTTTTTTTAATTGTTTTGCTATTGACCTGTAGGAGCTCCTCATTATTTTGAAAATTAACCCCTTCGGTTTTATGGTTTGCAAATATTTTCTCCCTTTCCATAGCTTGCCTTTTCACTCTATTGGTTGTTTCATGTTTAGTCTGATGCAGTCTCTCTTGCCTGTTTTTGCTTCTGTTGTCTACGCTTTGTGCATACAGCCAGCGGACCTTCAGCGAGGTTGCCAGGAATACCCAATGGGAAAAGGCTGTCTCTTCAACAAATGGGGTTGGGAAAACTGGACATCCACGTGCAAAAAGACCAGATGGGACCCTTCTCTTACACACACACACAAATCAACTCAAAATGGATGAAAGACTTAAAAATTAACTAAATTAGAATACTACCTTGTCTTAGTTACTGTAATCTTAAAATAATTAGCAACATCTCATAGAAAACTCTGCTCCCTTTTTATCAAAACCCGTGGCTTCCCTTGGCTCTATTTGTATGTTAATTTTATAATCAATTTGTAAAGTTTCACCCAAAACATGGGAAGGCTTTTAATTGGAGTTACATATATTAGTTTAGGAACAGTGACATCTATATAATATTAAACATCCCAATCCATGAATTGGAGTTCATTTCCACTAACGTAAGTCTTCTTTAATACTATGTGACTAAGTTTCATAATTGTCCCCTGAACAGGTCTTTCGTGTTTTTGTCATATTATTCTCAGGTATTTGTCTGTGTTATTGTACTAAGAATATTTTCTTTAATTTTGTTCTGTAATGGTCGGTTCCTGGAAGATCTAAATGTATTCACTAGGTATATCAGATAATAGCATTATGAGTGATCTTAATACTTTTCTGAATTTTCGGATTTTATCTACATTTAAACTTGTATTGCTTATATGACCACAAGAAAAACAATAAAGCACCTTTTCTTGCAAAAAAAAATTAATAAGCATTTCTCTCCGCTAAGCTCTGATAGTTTGAGAAAAACCAGCAAGCCCAGGTTATAGAAAGCTCTGGGGCGCTGGATTTTGGAGTTGCTGGTTCGAGTGCAAATTCCGGAGATGCGGAAACAGAGGAGCCCGTGTGTAAGGGATGCTAGCGACGGAAGCACCTGAGGCATCCAATTCTGAGTTCCCTAGAGCCAGGGCCACTGTCCCTTAACTTCCTGCTGGGGAACCGAAACTGACCAGAGCTAACCATCAGCCCGCAGAGATGAGGGTGGAGCTCCCGGGAGAGATCAGAACCCAGCTGGAAGGCCATGAAAGAGAAACAATGCGTGTGGTGAGGTTTGCGGTCCTGGGCTGATGGGGTGCCCCAGGGTGCTCAACCTCACGCCGAGGTTTCAGCTGGATTTCAGTGTACTGCCACCTTTGAAGCCCTGAGTGAGGGGGTCCCAGATACATTCCTCTTCCCGCTCCTGCAAGCCCCTCCCTGCACGCCCCCCCCCCTCCTGAAGCAAGAGGCTACCCTGGAGACTCCAGGTCCACTGTGCAGCGTACAGCTGCCTCGTTTTGTGCGAGTCCCCAAAGGATTTAAGTCTTGTAGCTTTCTAATATTTTAATAGGTGATATTGTATGAAAGGTGCCATTCTAAACTGACTTTCTCATTTCTCTTTTTAAAAAATCTTAATTCTTAAGACAGTTTAGAGAATGGTGTTTGAAATTTTTAAAGATGGCCTTCTTACTGGCATCGCATCAACTGGATAAGCTAGGAAGAGCTGGCTCCTGCTGCGATAGAGTGAGCAGTGAGCACTGGCCGCGGGGTCAGTTCGGTCTGACACCTTTCCAGCTGCGCGTGACCCTGGACAAGAAGCCTAGACTCTCTGTGCCTTAACTTCCTCACCTACAATGATGTGGTAATAACAGCACTCACCTCATGGTTATTGGGAGGATTAAATGAGATATTTGTAAAGGGGTGCAGGACAATTTCTGTAATTGCGCCTTATTATTGCCAGTGTTTAGAAGGCATCCTTCAGCCAGAGGGCAAGGTAGAGAGGCTCCCTGCTTCTGTGAATCTCCTGACCGTTTTTTGACGCAAATAGTGCACGTTTCTTAAACGCTCCGGTTACAGTACTCCGTGCCAACGCTGTGCTCTGCGGCCCTGCTGCTGTAAAGGCCTGTCGTTCCGTTGAGTTCCACGCCTCAGAGCTGGGGAGCCCCTGGGCAGCCAGACCCGGTGCCGCGAAAGGGAAAGCCAAGGCGAGAAACCGCGACTGGGAAGGGAACCGGAAGTGAGAGCAGAGGGGCAGAGCGGCTGAAAGAAACGAAACTGAAAGCAGGGAAGGAGGGCAATGCCAGGAGAATGGGGGAAAGTGGGGAAACGGGGGGGAGACTGAGTCAGTTGCGTCCTTCCCTCCCCCGACGCGGGGCGCAGAATCAGGGCGGGGCGCTGCGGGGCGCCGGGGACAGCGCAGAGCCCGGGACGCAAACCCAGAGGCCCGCGAGCGCAGCGGAACCTGCAACCCCCGCACAGCATCCCTGCCGCCAGTCGCCTTGGTGCCCGGCCATGGACGTGTACCGCACCCCTGCCGCCGCGCTGGACAGCCTGGTGATCGGCAGTCTGCGGCCGCCCGCGGAGTTCGTGGGGACGGCGCGGCGCGCGCTCGGGACCCTGGGCGCGGTCCTGAGAGAGCGTGGGGGCCGCCCGGGTGCCCGGGGAGCCGCTGCCCCGCCGTGGCGGGTGCTGAAAATCACCAAGGTGGGCTTTCAGGGAGCAGGGGCGACCTCGCGATCTCCTTTTGAAAATAGGAGCAAACCTCGGGAACGCTGGGCACTTTGAGAAAAGGGACGGGGAGGCGCTTTACCAGTCTTTTCATTCATTTCTTTAACGCTAGTATAGTCCGCTTGACTGTGCCCCAGGGTTGTTCAAAGTGCCCTGAAAATATACTCCTGCTCACAATACCTCTGCGAGGTAAGTACTATTTATTCCCACTTGACAGATGGGGAAACTGAGGCACAAGGAGCAGAAGTAACGTGTCCAAGCCTGTAAGACGTCCAGTCAGGATTCAAAGCCAGGTAGTCTGATTCCTGAGTCTGTGCAGCTAAGGGCCGCCTTATTCATCCATTCATTCATTCACTCACTCAGTCCTCCACCCAGCCAGACTATGGACCTCCCACTGTGCCTGACCCAAACGGTGCAGACGTAATAATCCTCTAGAAAAGCCGTAATAGCCCAGCTTAATTACCCAATAACAATGAACTTTTCCTCATTAAATGACTCTTATCTCACAAGTGAGGTAGAGATTATTGTCCCTGTTTAATGGATGGGGAAACTGAAACTGGGTCGCTTTTTGGCCTGGTCACTCTTTGTCACCATGACACTGAGCTCAGGATGCCTGCAGACTCAGCGGGAGGAGACACACATCGGCTCTTGTATCCTCAAGGTAAACTCAGGGTGCTGGGCGCACCCAGGAAATCCGCACGGGAGGGAGGGCGGGGGACCTGGAGTTTATGGCCAGGGAGGGAGTGATGCAAAAGGAGCCGGAAGCAGCCTCAGAGCAGCTAGTGGTTTCCTGGGGCTGAGTCTCAGCTTGGGACACAGGAAGTGAGGAGGGGAGACCGGCAGCCCAGGTGACGTGGGGGCAGATTTCTGCCTTCGAGTTGGGCTGCAGGATTTCTGCAGAGCCAGAGTTTGGGGGTTTCTAAAGCTCTGGCTTCCTGAGCTCCCTGGAAAACCTGGAAAAGCTTTCAAGGTTGAATTTAGCTTATGGTCGTGCAATCATTCTAGGCGTTCTAGGCTTTGAAGGAGGCCTTGAAGGGGGCCTGGTGAAGTGGGCGGGGCTGTGGGCTCAATTGGCATAAGTCACTCCCAGCCGGGGTGAGATGCACAAGAGGAGTCTCGGCCTGTGGTTGAACCAGAAAGCAAAGAAGGGGTCACAGTAGGGTAGCCCCCAGGCCTACAACATGAGTTGTGACCACCAAAAATGTCTCGTGACATTGCCAAATGTCCCCTGGCGCACAGCCACTCACCACGGGGAATCACCCTTTTAGAGATGCCCGTGAAAACATATGAAATGACACATTGGCGGGAATTTCTTTAAAATAAAATCACATAAACAGGGGAAAAAAGGGGGGATCCAACAAATGAGCACACGTGGCAAAAGATGTCTTTAAAATCCTGTCCTCTTCTGTGTAGGTTTGGACACTTTCATGATAAAAGCTATTTTTGAAGTGAATTAATGTATTGGGATGCAGGGCGGAGAGCGTGGGTCTGGAGCCTGAGTGGGTTCCGATCGCGGCGCTGCCTCTCCTGCCTCGTAGACCAGAGGAGAGCGGCATCCTCTCTGCACTTTGATTTCCTTGCTTGTAAAGTGAGAGCAATCATAGTATCTCCCTCCAGGCTCGCTAGGAAGGTTACATGAGATGATCATGCGCAAAACATGAAAGAAATGCTCAGTCTGTAGTATCGCCCTGCGTTCTGCTCCTTTGTTGGCAGTGCCGACCGCGAGGGGCTGACAGTGAATGGCCTGGCCATCCCAGCCGGGTGGGACGATGCCCCCAGAGGCCTAATCCTGGTTCTTGCCTCTTCCTGGTTGTATTGTTCATTTCATTGCTCTTAGTGTTACTCATTGTACTACTCTGAGCCTCCCTGCATGTCTGACCTCATGTAACCACATGATGGTTGTTACCTGTTGGCAGTGAGGTCATAGGTATCAGATATTTGACAGAGTGCCAGGCACAGGGCAGAGACTCTAGTAATGTGCATTTCCTTCCTGAGTCCTCAGGCTGGCAGCTTGGCAGAAACACTGGTCAGAAAGGTCTCAGAACTTCATATTCAAGTTATATAACTGCTTTGTCCTGATCCTGGGCAAAGAACATGGACATTGTTATGTGAACCAGAATTTGTTTCACTTACAGTTTTAATTATTGTATAGTTCATTGCTAACATTTAGAAATTATAGGTGATAGATAAAAATTGCTTTTCTTGAAAACAGACCTGGCTGCCCGCGGCCCACATTCCTGCATGGCTTCAAATGCCAGGAGCTGTGTGGCCACAGTTCCCACCCAGCCCACTCGCCTGCCAGCCTAGAATGTGGGCCCTAGAATTGGAGAGTGCAGACTTCTGAGTTTGTTTGTTTGTTTGTTTGTTTTTCTCCATAGGGAGGTTCCTTTGGCCGGGGCACAGCTCTGAGGGGTGGCTGCGACTCTGAACTTGTCATCTTCCTCAACTGCTTCGAGAGCTATGAGGACCAGGGTGCTCGGCGCACAGAGATCCTCGGGGAGATGAAGGAGCTGCTGGAATCCTGGTGGCAAAACCCAGTCCCTGGGTTGAGCCTTGAGTTTCTTAAGCAGGACACGCCTGGGGTCCTCCAGTTCCGCCTGGCATCCGCAGACCTGGAAAACTGGATGGATGTTAGCTTGGTGCCCGCCTTTGACGCGCTGGGTGAGGACTGCCTGGCCCGCGGCAGGGCCGCGGCAAGTTCGCTAGGAGTAAGACGGCTCCTGTCCTGCCACCTACTTGCTGTGTGACCTGGGACGCCCTCGCTGGGCTTTGGTTTCTTGACCAAACATCCTGGGTCTGGACCAGACAAGGGCCAAGGAGGCCCGGTTCCTCCTGGATTCGTGGTCCTGGAGTCAAGATGCTTGGCCTTTGCCCAAACAGCAGGGGAGGACTCCCTCCAGCCATGCTGAGGGCGGCTCAGCCCTTCCATAGAGAGCCCAGAGGGGAAGGCAAATTCTGCAGAATCTTGCATTTTACCTTGAAAGCATCGATGTGATTTTTGCACTCTCCTTTGTGATATACCCGTGCTTGATTTACTGTAATAATGTGCCTGTGGGTCTGCATCTGTAAAATGCAGATAATAACAGGACAATAGTAATTTGTTCTGGGAAAGACCGTATGTGGTAATACGTGTACTGAACCTAGAACGGTGCCTCACACATGATAGGGCTATATGAGAGCCTGCTATTTCTATTATTATTTTATATATTTTATTTATTTATATTTTAAATAATTTCTATTATTATTTTTCTTTTTTAAAAAGATTTTATTTATTATTTATTTTTAGAGAGAGGGGAAGGAAGGGAAAAAGAGAAGGAGAGAAACATCGCTGTGCAAGGGAAACATAGATAGGTTGCCTCTCACATGCAACCCAGGCATGTGCCCTGACTGGGAATCGAACCAGTGCCCTTTCAGTTGGCAGGCCGGCACCCCATCCACTGAGCCACACCAGCCAGGGCTTATTTTTTTCTATTATTATTATTGATATCATTGTTATCATTCACCATGATGCTCTGGGAGATAGCTCTCTTGAGTTTATCCCAACGATAAACTGTCTTGAGCTGCAATGTCCTGGCTAGCAGCCACACTCCCCAACACCTATACATACACCTGCCCTGTTAATAATCATAATGGCTACTCCTTATCAAATGCTTCACTTTCCCAAGCCATTAACATGTTTTGTCTCATGAACTCCTCAAAACAAACCTTTGAAGCCTGACCGGATTGCCTTCCATTTTACGAATAGGGACACTGAGGCACAGAGACGTACAGTAACTCACCTAAAGCCACACAGCAAATAAGTGATGTCAGGAACCTAGGAAGTTGTGGAGAGTGTTGACTGTTCCCTGAGCCAGGCCCAGGGGAAGTGGGCGCATACTGTAAAGCTAGCCGGCTCTGCCTCCCAATCCTATCTCCAGCTATATAACCCAGGGCAGAACACTGGATTTCTTGGTGCCTCAGTTTGCATAGCTATAAAACGAGGTGAAGAATTGTAGGGTTTTAGTGAGGAATCCAATGAGGGGATTCATGTAAAACTTTGAGCCCGGTGCCTGGCATGTTGTAAGTGCTCAAAAAATACTAGCGATCAGTGCTAAGGACTCACAACCACTTGCCTTGTATTTCTCTCGTGTCATTTCTTCTCGCGCAGTTCCAATTAATTAAAGATGTGTGCAGGGGTATTTTAGTATAGCCTGAGGGAGCCTAGGGAGGAAGGAAGTGCCAGGCCGTAGGATTCCGACTCAGCAGGAGGCGTCATTCCTATTTAACCTCCTGGGAATGAGGCTGCACTTCTTCCCCAGCCTCTGGGGGCTGCCCTGCCACTGGGGAGGAAGGGAGCCTCCCTTCTGGTCCGGAGCTTTCCTCCCGACCCCCTGAGACACTCCAGGCTCTCCTCACCCTCCAATGCCCATGCAGGTGTCCCCCCTGCGCCAGTCCTCCGCCCTCTCTCCCTGCACCCCAAGCTGAGCTCAGCACCCACAGCGCCCCCCCCCCGGGTCCCCAGCGCCCCTCCTCACTCACAGGCCTCCATGTCCACAGGGCAGCTCAGCTCCAATGTCAAGCCCAAGCCCCAGATCTACTCCACCCTCCTCAACAGCGGCTGCCGAGGCGGCGAGCACGCGGCCTGCTTTGCAGAGCTGCGGAGGAGCTTCATGAACACTCGGCCCTCCAAGCTGAAGAACCTGATCCTCCTGGTGAAGCACTGGTACCGCCAGGTGAGGCCGCTAGTGAGGATCCTTGCTCCGGGCACATGGCGGTCTGACTGTCCCTTTGTGATAGCAAGAATGTTTCCTTCTTTCTGGCAGCCCCTTCATGTTTCTGGGAATTGTCTGTTCATATAATTTGTTCCTTATGTTCTACTGGGTTAGCTGCCTTCTTGTCGTTGATTGGTTGGAGCTCTGTATATATTGTGGGTATGAAAATCTAGTCTCCCATCTGAGGCTTATACTTCACTTTATTTATAGGTCTTTTGTCACAGAAAATGTTCGCGTTTTCATGTAATCGAGTTGTGTTCATCTTTTCCTCATGTGATTTGTGCTTTTTGTGTCTTGTTTAAGAAGTCTTCGCCTATTGTGACTTCCTAAAAGTATTCTCCAATGTTTCTTTTTAAAAGGTTTTAAGACTTTCTTTTCATATTTAGGGCTTTGAGACTGTGTGGGGTATTTTATGTACAACATGAAGTATGCGGAGTTTGTGTGGCCCCCGCCCCAGCCTCAGAAATGACCCCCCCCCCCGCACTGTGCATGCATGTTCAGAGACTGCTGCGCCTTAGGGAAGGGGTGCCCAGCCTGTGACTAGAGAAGAGGGAACAGGCTCCCCAAAATCTTAAGGTGCGTGGCTTGGTCCTGTTGCTGGACCGCTCATCCCGAAGCAGGCCTGGAACGAGGAGAAGCCGCAGGCCGGCTCTTGCTCAACCGCAGACCTGCTCTGTGACCCTGGGCCAGTGCTGCCGCACCTTTGCTTGGGGGTAACAGTCTCAGTCTACCTGCCAGCCTCTCTCGACTGCCCCCCCCCGCGTCCCGGGGGCTTGAATCTCATACCTCTCCCCGCCCCCGCCCCCACAACATGAGCCAGGCACATTGCCGAAGGCCCAGCGGTGAGGGCAGATGAGAAACACCAGGTTGCTTTTGGAACAGGCTTGGGACCCGGCCTCTCCCCGCAGGCGCAGCCTGCTGGGTCTTCACCGCAGAGACCAAGAGATGCAGCGAAACGCTGCAGAGAACCAGCGGTCCGCTCCCCTTTATCTTCTGAGCCCCCCTCCCTGTCCTCTTACAGGTGTGCCCGCAGGGGGGCAGCAGGCGGATGCCCCCAGCCTACGCCCTGGAGCTGCTGACCATCTTCGCCTGGGAGCAGGGCTGTGGGGAAGACGCCTTCAGCCTGGCCCAGGGCCTCCGGACAGTCCTGAGCCTGATCCAGCAGTATCAGCACCTGTGTGTTTTCTGGACCACCAACTACAGCTTCGAGGACCCTACCGTTAAGGAGTTCGTGCTTCGCCAGCTTAAGAGACCCAGGTACCTCCTGGTGGTCCCACCGTCGCTCCCCCCCCCCCCCCCGACCCTGTGCCTGGGCTGCAGGGAGGCAGTGAACCATGGGGAGGCAGTGAACCACGGCGAAGCAGGCTGCGTCTGCCCAGCGCCAAAGCCAAAGGCTACATGTGCACTTCCAAATTCAGTGGATTCAGCCCAGGCGCAAACCAGAATCACTTGGGGGAGCTGCAGATACACACTACATGTCTTGTCTGTGAGTGTTTTAGTGACATACAACAACACAGTTTGTTGTTGTGTAAGATGTGAACCCACCTGTGACAGCCCTGTTAGATCAAAGCAGAATATTCCAGGCCCCCAGGAGCTCTCCTTGTGCTCCTCCCAAAGATAATCCCGTTCTGTTATCATCACAGTTCTGTTTTAAAGTCATGTTTAAATAGAATCACACGGCATGCACTTCTGTGTCTGTCTTTATCAGAGTAAGTCTTTGAGATTCATCCATACAGTTGTGTGTAGTCGTGGTTCATTCTCTTCCGTTGTGTGGGTTTATCACAATATGCTTTCCATTCTACCCACGAAGAATACTTGGGGCATTTCCACTCCGGGGCTATTACTCTGAGGGCTGCGATAAACGGCCTGTGTTTCAGTGCCTACTCGTGGGCTTCTGTCCAGGAATGAAATGGCTGAGCCACAGGGTGTCACTCAGAGACCCCAGGGCTGGATCTGGGGATTCTAACCCGCAGGTGAAGTCGAAGATCGTTGCTCTCATTTCATCTCCACAACCGCTCATCCAATCAGGCTGTTCTTGTCCCCATTTTGAAGATGAGGAAACCGTGGCTCAGAGAAGTCAGTCATCTGCCTCTGGTCACACCCCTGGAAAGTCGCCGCGTTGAGGCTGGAGCCAAGTTGGCTTCACTCCAGAGCCCTGACCTTGACCATCTTGCCAACCAGAATGTTCTTGTCCCTCTGGACTTGCAGGCCCGTGATCCTGGACCCAGCTGACCCGACGTGGGACGTGGGGAATGGGGCAGCCTGGTCCTGGAATCTGCTGGCCCGAGAGGCAGAGTCCTGCTATGGCCACCCATGTTTTCTGCAGGCGGCAGGGGGCGCTGTGCAGCCCTGGGAGGTGCCTGTGAGTGAGGGGATCCTTGGGTTTTACACCTAACTTACATGCTTCGTGCTTTCTGAGCATCCGCTGTGCACTGGGGGCCATGGGGTGTGGAACCGAGTTGAAAAGGTGGGGACGGCAGGCGTGTGAAACAACCTAATCACCAGTCTTTGTGTAATTATTTTTCCGTTCCCCAAGTTGTGTTCGCCCACCGCAGGCGGACCTTTTGATAATTTATCCCCCTCACAAGGGCACCTTTTCTGATCCACACCGAGGCGCCATGGGGCTACCTCTCGCTTCCCCTCTCTGAACCTCGGTCATCCTGGCTACACAGTGGGACGGGACTGGCGGGAGGAGAAACCTTTGCATGCGTAAGACAGCTCCTTCCACAAACTTCCAGGGCCTTCCAGGCACTGGGTGCTCAGGCTTGGACTACCCCATCCTGCAAGACACTGTCCAGGAGACCTCCAGGGACAGCAGCGGTCTTGGTGCCGTGTGCCCAAAGGCAAGGAGCAGGCAGCCCCGCCCTGCCCCTGCCCCCTCCGCAGTGGCCAGCATCGCCCCCTCCGCCCCAGATCTGTCTCAGATCCCCAGCAAGGAGCTAGACCGCTTCATCCAGGACCACCTCAAGCCGAGCCCCCTGTTCCAGAAGCAGGTGAGCAAGGCCATCGACGTCATCCTCTGCTGCCTCCTTAAGAATTGTGTCCACAAGGCCTCAAGGGTCTGCAAGGTGAGTCGGGCAGGGGAAGACACCGACAGGACCCTAATGGGGGGACCACCATGGGGACGGGAAGAAGTCACAAACACACGCAGAGGGTGGACAGAAGTGGACATCGGTGGAGGGTAGTTTGCTGGCTGGAGATATGTTTAAGTGCCAGCTTTTTTTTTTTTAATGACACAGTTTTTGTAAACCACTGTTACCGTAGTCAGATCACGTGCCTTCTCTGCACAAAATCCTCCGTGGTTTCGCAGAGCACCAAGGCCTCGATCTGGCCCTGGTGTCTCATTGAACTTCACTTACTGCGCAGCCGCCCCCGGCTCTTCCTGAGCTCAGGAGACACATCCCCACGGGCTGTTTTCTCTTTCTCGACTGTTCTTCTCCCGTCCCCTCGGCTCTCTCCCTCCCCTCCTGTAAGTCTGTGATCCCAGTCCCCTCCTCAAGGAGGCCCGGCCACTCAATTTACAATCGCGCCCTCCACGCTCCTCCCCGTCCCTACTATTGGCCTCCACACAGCACTTCGGACTTCCTGGGGGCTGTTGTTTGCTCACTGTTCCTGTGTCGCACCCCTTCCCCTGATACAATATAAGTTCCAGGAGAAACGTAATTTTATCCACTTGCATACGCCTCTATGTAATTGCCCAATAAATATCTGTTGAACGCATGAACGAATGGGTGGACGGAGAGATGGATTGATTAACTGACATAGGCCAAGTACACCTGCAGACCCCTGTTGGCCCCAGGACCCCATTTTGCAACCTGTGATCCACATGTGCTGCAGATGTTTGGCTAAAGCCTTTGACCGCTGCCCCCACCTGGCCCCTCCCCCCGCAACCGCCTCTGTTACCTGTTGCTGCGCCGTTGTGTGGCTCAGTGCAGGCTTTGTGGGTCAGATGGTAAACGCAGGCAGATACAGTCTGACTCTTCCAGGTTCCTGGTGGTCAGAGGTCACAGGGTTTATGCAGCCTGCCTCTGTCTTGGTGTCCCCAAGACCCAACAGCCGTCAGAGAGCAGCTTCAGGGCTGCAGATGGGGGGCTGGTGGTGGGCCCGCAGTCCGACCCCCGACCCTGCCCCGCGCTCAAATGGAGTCACTGGTCTGAGATGTTCTTTTCTCTGCAGGGGGGCTCATTCGGCCGGGGCACAGACCTCAGGGGTGGCTGTGATGCCGAACTCGTCATCTTCCTCAACGGCTTCGAGAACTACAAGGACCAGGGTCCCCGCCGCGCAAGGATCCTTGGTGATATGCGGAAACAGCTGGAATCCTGGTGGCAGGATCAGGTCCCTGGCCTGACCCTCAGTTTTCCAGAGCAGGCCAGGACCGAGACCCTGCAGTTCCAGCTAGTGTCCCCGGCCCTAGAAAGCTGGATGGACGTCCGCCTGCTGCCCGTCTTTGATGCCGTGGGTGAGGAGTGCCCAGCCTGTGCCTTGGAGGGGCCGGGGAGCATCTCACGGGACGCTTGCTGTCCTCTTTGTGTTCCTAATCCCCCTACTTCATGGAGCGCTGGAAACTCCTATGAGATACCTAAAGTCATCCTCATCGTCAATTCGTAATGATTTAGGGCTTTTAACTTTACAAGAGTTTCCATTATAAAACGTTTCAAACATACAGAAAACTACAGTCATCACACACCCTTGTGCTCCAATTACAGTTTAACAAGTGTTAACAATTCTCCATGTCTGCATGGGATTTTTTTAAAAAAGGAATTACATGTTGTAATTTCCTTTCTTATATTGAAGGGTTTACTTTATGGTTTTCTAACTTTTTGAGGTACATCTTAGCTTAGGAATTGTCAGTCTTAATAAATGCAATTAAGGCTATTCACTTTGCTCTAAAGATCCACGTTAGCTGCATAACAAATGTTTTGTATGGATAATTTTTATTATCACTCAGATCTAAATCTTTTGTACTTTTAATTATGACATTATGATTTGTCCTTTCATCTATGAATATTTGGAAGTGGGTTTTCAAATGAATGTTTCAGGGTTTTGTTCATTTGCATCCTTTGGGCACTTAGTTCTCTTTTTCTATTTTTTTTCAATTTATTTTTCAATTATAGTTGACATATTATACAATATTATATTAGTTTCAGGTGTATGACTTAGTGATTAAACATTTACGTGCCGTATGACGTGATCGCCATGATAATGTCTAGCCCCCAGCTGACACCGTCCATAGTTACTACAATATTATCGACGGTATTCCCTACGTTGAGGTATCTTTTTCTATTTTTAACTGTAGTCAGAAAATATACCTCCCGAATATCAATTCTTTGGAATCTGGTGGCACTTCCTAGGTTTCCCATGGTTGAAAAGAATGCATTCTCTCCACTGTTGAATGCAGGCTTCTATATGGAGTCTTTAGATCAGGCTTATGATCTTTTTTCACATCTATATTACTTATTTTTTGCTCATTTGGTCTATGAATTTATAAATGGGATACCAGAATCTCCTGCTCTGAATGGAGATTTACCAGCTTCTCCTTGTAATTCTGGAAAGTTTTGATTTTAATATGTTGAGGCTATGTTATTAAGGAGCATGTAAGTATATAATTATATTTTTATTGGCTTGTTCCTTTTATTATTAAGTAATAACCCTCATTATTTCTAAAACATTTATTTGCCTTAAAGCATTTTGTCTGATATTAATAGAGCTGCCCTGGTCTTTTGGGAGTATTTTCCTGGAATACCTTTTGCCATTTTTTATTTGTAAGGTACGTTATTAAATTTTAATTGTACCTTTTATAAATAACATAAAACTAAAGACAAAAAGGGAACAAATAATAATAACTAATCATTTTTAATTTATTGATTTTTTTTTAGAGATAGAGGAAGGGGGGAAGATAGAGAGAGGAACATCAGATTGGCCTACTTTTTGAAATTCCTGAAGTGTTCGCTCTCCTATTTGTTGCGTTACCTGGCTCTCCCTCATGGTGGACCATTTCCTCATGTGGATTGTAATTTTTTTATTGTGAGCTCATCTCCGGGGTGTGTGGAGCTTTTATTTTCTTTCCTTTTGCTGTGGAAGTTCCTTCTGCTCTGGGTCGGAGAAATATCCTCAGGGAACCAAGTTTTTATTTGACTCCTAAAGAGTTTCACGGATTCCCAGGGCAGTTTTGCACCAATTTAATAGCCGGGCATTTCCTTACTGTGCCGATACTGGAAACTTAGACTCCACACTCACACTCACGTGGGGCGGGGTCTCATTTTCTCATGGGAGACTTTTTGCTCTCTCACTCCCCCCGGCCCCCGCCACCCCAAAGAGCCATGACAGCAAGCGTCCTTGAAGCCTTTCTCTTTTAGGGGGTGACGTTTTAGTCGCCTCCCGTGGGGAAGGTATCTGTTCCAGAGTGCCAGCATTATGAAAGAGCACAGGGGGACACATTCCAGTTTCCTCTCTGTGCCTTGGTTTTCTCTTTGGGAGATAAAACTAATCACAGCAACAGTTTGTATTTGCTGAGCACACGGTATATTTTAACTATTGCTCTAAGCACTGTATGAATAGATTTTATTTGATCCTTACCATAGCCTTATGAGGTAGATATTATCCCCCTTTTATAAATGAGGAAACTGAGGTCCAGAGAGGCAAGGTCACACAGCTAGAATGTGAACCCAGGCTTGTCGGCCTCCAGAGCTTATTCTCTTCACCCCTTCACTGCGTAGCTTGTTTGGGTTCAAGATATCCACTTGTAAAGCTATTAAGTGAGGTAGCGAAAATGACTGATAAGCACCCAGTACATAGTTGCTGATAAAAATAATGAGTTCCGATTGTTATTCTTTGTTATAGATTGTGTATTTTCAATTGCAACGCTATATAATTAATGTCAAAACATTAAAGGCTGGTGAGTGGCTGGGTCGGGCAATGCTGCTGACTTCCATTAGAAATGCATGCTCAGCGCGCTTTAAACACCCACAGGACAGCTCAGCCCTGGCGCCAAGCCTGACCCCCAGATCTACTGGAACCTTCTGGACAGCGGCTGCCAGGAGGGCGAGCACGCGGCCTGCTTCGCTGAGCTGCGGAGGAACTTCGTGAACACCCGTCCAGTCAAGCTGAAGAACCTGATCCTGCTGGTGAAGCACTGGTACCGCCAGGTGAGGCCGGGCTCCTTCCGGGGAAACAGTCGCTGCCATGGCAACCGCTTCGGCCAATCAGCTTCTTTCCTACACGCCAGCACGCCCTCTTTTGCTTCTTATTGGCCATCCCAAGCAGAAGGCCCTGGCTGCGATAGAAGCTTTTCTCCATCAAGTCCCCAAATCCCCATTTCTTGCGGCTGGGGTTCACCGCCCCTCTCTAGCCATAGCTCCTCGCAGTGCTAATGATTTCCCTGTTCTTGCTCACCTCCAAGCCTTTGCTCCTGTTGTTCCTCCATCACCTTTGTCTTCACAAGATAATTCTAAATCCGGAGCATCCTTCAGAGTTCGCTCAGCAACCGCTCCTCTGAATGCCAACTCGCATTCACACACGCATTTATTCAACCATCTGCTGAGCAGCCACTATTGCTAACTGTTGTGATGGGTGTTTAAATACCAAGATGAGTATGTCGCAGACCCCATTCCTGTATGACCACCTCGTATATCCCTTGAGGAAAGACTCTAGGCAAAGCCCCTGTCTGAGCTTCTCGGTCTCACTCTACGACCTTGGACAAGTCACTACCCACCACCTCGCAGACCTCAGTTTAGTCACCTGTAAAATGAGAAGGGTGAGCCAGGCCACCCCCATGGTTCTATTCTTGCTGTGGTTTTGTTTTTTTATTCCCCTCCTTCCACAAGTGTGTAGGGCCATGCTTTGCGTACAGTAGAGGCTCACACCACTGATTCGTTCACTTGGGTGACACAGGTGGCCTCTCAGCACAAACGGGAACGGCTAGCGTGCGCCTCCCTGCCCCCAGCCTACGCCCTGGAGCTGCTGACCATCTTCGCCTGGGAGCAGGGCAGTGGGGAGGACTTGTTCCACATGGCCGAAGGCCTGAGGACCGTCCTGGGGCTTGTCCAGCAGCCCCAGCAGCTCTGTGTCTTCTGGACAGTCAACTATGGCTTTGAGGATCCAGCCCTCAGAAAGCACCTCCTTGGCCAGCTGCAGAAACCCAGGTGCGCCCACTGCCCCTTTCCCTGCCCTGCGCGATCCCTCTCCGTCTGTCGGCTCGGAATCGCTGTATCCAGGAGGGGTCCAGGATGCGGTTTGGGGGTTCTAACCCATCCTCACCCTGCTTCCTCCTGGACTTCTTGCTGAAGAAGCATAGGCACAACGGGCCCCAAAGGAAGCTGGGGCCTGTTTTAGGAACACAATACAATATCGTATCTGAAATCAAGGGTCCACTCAGTAGCTTGCGGACCAAGGTGGCCAAGCGGGGACCCTACTGTGCTTGGACAGGACTGTACCCGCCCCACGGTGCTGACGGCCTTCTCTCTCTCTCCAGCACCCATATGCTTTCCCACTCCCTCCCACCCCCTGCTCCTTCACTGATTCTCACCTTCCTCCTCCCGCCACCTGCCCACCCACCCTGCCCCCAGGCCCCTGATCCTGGACCCTGCCGACCCCACCTGGAACGTGGGCCAGGGCAGCTGGGAGCTGCTGGCCCAGGAAGCGGCAGCCCTGGAGACGCAGGCCTGCCTTTTGAGTAGAGAAGGGACGCCTGTGCAACCCTGGGACGTGATGGTAAGAGGCGGGGTCCGGAGGCGGGGGATCCCCTTTCCCTGCCAGTGCCCCTGCCCCCTGCTGCCAGGAGTGTTGGTGCCGATGGCTCAGAGCCAAGGCACAGGTTGGTCCCTCTCAGCCACTGCTTGAGGGACATGCGCACCAAAGGCCCACCCTGCTTGCAGACAGGACCAACTCCATGATGCAGTTCGTGCTCCAGAGCCCGCTCTGGGATGCAGAACAAGCTCTCTCCAGCGGAGCCTCCCCAGCCTCTCCTGCTTCCCTCACCCCCCTTCCCGGGCAAGCGCTGTCCCCGTGGACCACATGTGTACAAGAACCCCCATTACAGGCTCCGCTTCTGGGGGACGCCACTGAAGAAAACAGCCACTCGCAGCTATTTTATCGCATTTGCTGCTTTGCAGCAAAAGCTCATAACCGGTGCTTAACACTCAAGACAATCCAGCGAGGCATGGGCCTCAGTCTTGCCCGCATTTAAAGATGGGGAAACTGAGGCTGTGTGGCGGTGGGAGAGCCAGAACATGAACTCGTCCCTCTGATGCCGTGATCTGCCAACCAGTTGAGAAGAAGGAGCTAGAAGAGAGAGTGGGAGTCGCATCCTCACAGGAGACCAAGGGCGCTCACAGGGAATCCCGTTGCGAGCTGACTCGGCCTGTGTTCTCTCGGCAGCCCACTCTCCTTCACCAAACCCCAGCCTGGGACCTCGACAAGTTCATCAGCGAATTTCTCCAGCCCAACCGCCAGTTCCTGGCTCAGGTGAACAAGGCTGTTGATACCATCTGCTCCTTCCTGAGGGAAAACTGCTTCCAGAATTCTCCCACCAAAGTGCTTAAGGTGGTCAAGGTGAGTCCCCACAGAGCTGCGGGCCATGGGGGTCCTGCAGACAGGCGATCTCGCATAGGCCCAGGCCAGGCCTGACCCCCGTCTGTGGCCCCTGCAGCGACTAGCACAAAGCCAAACACAGGAGAAAGCAGAACGCGGTCGAGAGTGGGTGGCCGAAGGAGGGTCCGTGTAGGCTCCAGAAGCTTCTTTCGGTTGCTCACGACTGCTGACTTGAAAGAAGCAGCAAAAGGAATGTGTCAGCTGATGTAAATGGAAGGCCCTAGAATATGCTGCCTTCAGGCATGGCTGGATCCAGGAGCCCATGCAAGATAATCAGGACTCAGATTTTCTTTCTAGCTCTTGTCTTGGTCTTCTTCTGCCTTGGATGGGCTCTGTCCATATGATGATCCTTGGCATCTCTAAGCTTCTGAAAAAGGGATTTCTCTTTCCTCACAATTCAAAGAAGTCTTGGAATTGGCTTTCATTGGCTGGGTGATGTATCCCCTAACCAATCATTAGGGCTGGGGAGACATCGTGTGCTGGCCAGCCAGGCCTGGGTCACGTGGCGGAGTCAGCCCTATGTGGGCCTCCTGAGTGGAGTGTGGGGGAGGAGTGGTTCCCCCAAAGAAAATCCAGTGCTGACCCCGGAGAGGTGGAAAGCATGCTGGGGGTGTTCGTAAAGTCACATTACCTGCTGCAGCAGATCCGACCTTGGTTCATGACTGGAGCCACAGGGAGACACGGGTCAACTCTGGAAAGAGTGTCAGCAGAGTCAGCCAGTGACAAGTGCTAGCCTGGTGACTCGCTGTGTGACCCCAGACACAAACGCCTTCTCCTCCCTCGCCCGTAACCCCTGGGGGCCGTGTGCTGACGCGTCGGTTCTCAGCCGTGGCTCCCCTGAGGGTCACAGGCAGGCTTTCAAAAAAGATACACTGATGTCTAAGCCCCTCCCATGAAAATTAAAGCGCAGTCCCAGGGACACAGGAGTCCCGCATCCGTCATTTTTAAAAGCTCCCCTGATGCAAACAGGCTTGAGAACCAGCTGCAGGCCTAAAAATAAGCAGGAAGGAGGGAGGGGTTGGGAGGGAGGGAAGGCTGCCTCAAATCCCTCCCAACCCCTGAACATGAGGCAATGAGAACTCTTGCATTTGTTGAAGGGTTTAAACTTATGTCTTGCACCTTTCTTTTTCTTGCAACTATGCCACATATTAACCCCATAGTAAAGATCTAAGACAGAGAGGTTAGGTGACTTGCCCAAGGTCACAGCAAGCCCAGAGCTCCTAGGCTCTGGCAGGGGGACACCAAGCAGTACTTCAGGGCTCAAGCCAACCTGCCATGTCCTCCCCAGGGCGGCTCTTCGGCGAAGGGGACCGCGCTGCGAGGCCGCTCCGACGCCGACCTGGTGGTGTTCCTCAGCTGCTTCCGCGAGTTCACCGAGCAAGGGAGCAAGCGGGCCGAGATCATCTCGGAGATCCGAGCCCAGCTCGAGCGGTGCCAGCGGGAGCAGCCGTTTGAAGTGAAGTTCGAGATCTCCAAGTGGGAGAACCCCCGCGTGCTGAGCTTCTCGCTGGCATCCCAGACGATGCTGGACCAGAGCGTGGACTTCGATGTGCTGCCGGCATTCGACGCCCTCGGTGAGGGGCCGAGGCGCGGGCCTGAGAAGGGGGCAGGAGGGGCAGGGCTGCCAGGAGCGGGGTAGGGGTTGCGCGCCTGGTCGCATCGCAGGCCTTGCGGATGTGTATGCGTATCGCGACTTCCCTGCAAAGTGTCTTGAGAAAAGGGCACTTTTCCCAGTTTGCACAAAGGTGCCACATAGGTGAGCAGTGGCCCTGAGCTGGGTTCTAGTTCCATCAATTCACCCACATGCTAGATGGCCTTGAGCAGGGGACTCCTCTGCCTTGGGCCCCAATGTCTTCATCTGACATCGGGGACATCAAAGTGTCTCAATGCACCTCCCCGTCCTGCCACAGACCCAATAAGTGCACCTACCATGTGCCTAGAACACTTCCAGACACAGAGGATAAATCCCTGAACAAAACAGACACAAATCTCTTCGTATCTATTCAGTTCTGAGTCTGGGCAGGAGAGTTTGCGGAGTGAGGAAATCCCCCCGTATGTCAATGTATTTGGTTCCTGCCTTTTGCAAAACAAGTAGCAAGAGAGAGGTCGATCCAGAAACTTACCTGAATCTGTTTGGTTCCTCATTTCGGAAGGCCAGAGCTTGGCAATCACGAGAAGCCTCTCAGTGCACTGGGACCAGCGCGCCAGCCACACGTCCCGCACACAACTCTGTCCTCTGCAGGGGGCTCTGAGGCCGAGGCTCTCCCTCCGTTAGAGAGATGAGCCAGGGAACCATGTTAGCTCTGAGCTGAGACTTTCTTTGTGATGGGTGAACAAGTGGGTTGGAAGGAGGCAGGAAACGGAGCAAGGTCCTCACCCGAGATTCCACTCTGGGTCATGTCGGGTCTGTGTTCCACCTAAAAACCCCTGTGGCCTCCAGTGGATCCCAGGCCACACAGGGAAACACCTGAGTAGGAGGCTTCCAACATTCTTTCATTGGCTCCGCTGTGACTCCGGGAAACGAAGTGAGGGTGACCTTCTCCCTGTCCCCAGGCCAGCTGGGCCCCCGCTCCAGGCCCCGCACACAAGTGTACGTCGACCTCATCCGCAGCTACAACAACGCAGGCGAGTACTCCTGCTGCTTCACAGAGTTGCAGCGGGACTTCATCGTCTCCCGCCCCACTAAGCTGAAGAGCCTGATCCGACTGGTGAAGCACTGGTACCAGCAGGTTCGGCGCACAGACGGCCGGGGGCCACCCAACCCGCAGACCTAGGCTCTGCCCTGGGAGGAGGCGGGCCTAGCCCTGGCAGGAACCCTGGGTCGGTGGAGCAGAAAGAGATTTTTCCTAACGACAGGGTCTTCGTTTTCTTATGTGTAAAATAGGCTGACGTTCCTATGTCACAAGAGTTGATGGGATGATGTGTGGCAAGGCATATGGCAGAGTAGGTGCCCAGTAAACGTTTGGGGATGGTTTCTAGTTCCAGGAGGGTGGTCTCTCCCGTACCTCTTCACTGTCAGTAGGGACCAATACCCCATCTTTCTCCTCTCTTCTAAGTGCACCAAGATGCCCAAGGGGAAAGGCCCTCTGCCCCCCCAGCACGGGCTGGAACTCCTGACAGTGTATGCCTGGGAGCAGGGTAGCCGGGACCCCCAGTTCAACATGGCTGAGGGCTTTCGCACTGTCCTGGAGCTGGTCACCCAGTACCGCCAGCTCTGCGTCTACTGGACCGTCAACTACAACTGCGAGGACAAGACCATCAGAGACTTCCTGAAGATGCAGCTGCAGAAGAACAGGTTCAGCCCTACCCTCGGTGCCCCAGAGTGTCAGATCCAGGGTCCCTCATTGTCTGTCATTCCTGAGGGCACAGAGCAGAGACAGGAAAATCCACGTTCTAGGACTGAGTTCCTTCCTAGAGGTAATACCCTTAGCAGCTAAGGGACAGGCAGTCAGTTTCCTGGCCGCCTGTGAATAGTGATACCAGAAGAAATGCAAGACTCCAAGTTACATTTGAATTTCAGATAAATGATGAATAACTTTTCAGTATAAGAATGTCCCATGCAGTCATTGGGATATGCTTCATGAACAAAACAAAACAAAACACATTATTCATTTTTTATCTGAATGAAACTCAGATGTAACGGGCCATCCTCTATGTGTATTTGCTAAATCTGGCAACCCTGCCTATGAACCCACCGGGTAACATAAGCATGTCCCATTTGGGGGGATTTTGCCCACCTTTCAAATGCTACAGAAATAACATAGATGCTCTCACGACTGTGTGTTATATTTCCAGTCCATAGGGAGTGGCTACTTAGATGATGTGTTGAAAAAGACACAGAGGTTGTGAACTGGCTCAGCTGAAAAGAGCGGCCTCAACAGTTAGGGACCACACAGATTGCAGGATGAGTGGTGGAACCAGTGCTGTGGTCGATTAATAATGCCTGCTTTACTTGCAGGTGGCGCAAGTGTGGCCTGAGCACTGTGATCGATTAGTAATGTCTTCCCTGGATACAGGTCGAGGCAGAAGGGGCCTCACGTGTAGCTTATTTTCCATTCTGTCCTCAAGTGTGTGTCTGGAGCCTGGAGGAGTCTCTTGGCCCGGCCCTTCCCCTGCCCCTGCCCTCTCCAGAGTGTTGGGTGAAGGAGAAAAATAGTCCAAGCGATCCCGTAGGTGGCGACCCAGATGTTGCCCGGAATATGACTGACCATGGTTGGGCATTGCAGGCCCATCATCCTGGATCCGGCTGACCCGACAGGCAACCTGGGCCAAAGTGCCCGCTGGGACCTGCTGGCCAAGGAAGCTGCAGCCTGCATATCTGCCCTGTGCTGCAGGGGCAGAGACGGCACCCCCATCCGGCCATGGCCAGTGAAGGTGAGAGGCCTGTGGTACAGCAGGGAGCACCCTCTGTTGGGGGGCAGTGTGGTCGGGGGAGGGGCATGCTCCTCCCAAGGAGGTAGGGCCCAGGATGGGCCCCTGTGCCTCCATGTCCTGTCTGCTCCCACTGCCTCAGCTCCTCTGGGAAGGGCAGGGGTAACCAACCAGTTCTGTAACCTTCCCCAGGCTGCTGTGTGAAGGCCAGATGATCCGTGGTTGCCAGATGGACGCCAACCATCGGTGCGGGGAGACAGGCTCACCTGCCAGGCGTGTGTGTGTGGGTGTGTGTGTATGAGAGAGACTTGGTGAATTCACTGTCCTCCTCAGCCCAGCCTCCCAACTGGTGACCCCACCTGCCAGCTTGGCGCTCTCCCCCTGGCGGCCCCCTCTGCTCACCCAGCCCCATTGAATCTCCCCGCGTACCCTATGGGCACTGCATGCCGCAAACCGCGGCCTGCACACTGGGGGCCAGGCTCCATGGGTGGGCGCCAGCCTGGGGTTCCAGCTCCGCCATCATGCTTGTGACTCCCTCTCTACTCCCAGCTGCGCCCACCCCCGCCAAGAATGCCCTATCCGCCCCCCGACTTCCCTCTGCCCATCCACACAGCTCATACCCTTCCTCCTGCTGAACCCCATCTCTGACTCCAAGGGGCTGTCCCGTCTTCCCCGATCTAGGAACTTTTCACAAAGACGGCAGACCTTTTACCTGGGCGTCAGGCACAGTCAGGTGGTCATGGCTGCCTGGAGCTCTCTGTTTTGAAAGATTCTGAAGAATGGATACCTAGCTGGGAAGAGTGACCTAATCAATGAGAGATGTCTGCCATGGATGCAGTAGAGGAAAGCAGTGGCTCGAGTGCCATGCTTGATTAGCAATGTCTGGCCTGGATGCAGAAAGAAGTGCTCATAGACCTACCGTGTACGTCCGGGCTATTGAGAAGCAACCTGAGCTCAGTCGCCGGAAGGACAGCATGCCCAGACCCGCTACTTTGGCCCGCCACGGACCGAGATGGGGGCGTCGGGGCATGCGTGTCATGCGGTCCCTCTCTTTGGACACTTTGTTGGATGTCTTCATGGGAGGCTTCCTTTTGTTCACCTTTCCCGTTACCCCCCCACCACGCCCAGCCCCCCCAGTTTGCACATCTTAATGCCCTGCCCTACATGCCTTCCTGGATTTTTACTGAGTCCCTGTCATGTCTCCTGCCTGGCTGCAGTGCCATCCGTGGGGTCCTCCACCTCCAGAACCTAGACGTGAGCTGGTGCCCTCAAGGCAGCGCTCAGCCTGCTTCTCTCTGCTCTCCGGTGCCAGCCCACCGGGTCCAGGCAGGAGGCGCTTCAGACCTCCGGCCCCATACCAGGGCCCCTCTTCACGAAGGATCGGCACGGGAAGCAAAAAGCACTCCAGCAATCGGATGTCAGAAGGGATTCCATCTAAACCCCCGGATGGGCAGAAGGAGACTGGAGCAACCGCTGGACTGTTATTTCCAACGTTAGACCCGTGTGGCAGGATCAGAGGTCAGGAAGCCGCTGCTGCTCCCGCCAGTGCCGCTGCAGCCGCCCCGCTGCCCCAGACCCAGGGATGTGGGTCTAAATTACAGACAGAACTCTGGCTGCTGGGGAGTCTGAGAAGTGCCTGTCTCGCCTCCCACCCCACAAGCACAGGAGGAATGGATGCCCAGGGCCGAGGGGCAGTGTCTGCGACAATGTTTCCCGCGTAGGCGCTATGAACGTCTGTTGGGTGGGTGAGGGTGTGGTCCCCTGAGAGGGGAGGACCAGGAGACAGGGGAAACAACCTCGTCCTTAGGGGATACATGTGCAAGTATTTGTAAAGGGGCCCAGGTGATTACCATGTGTCGGTGTAGGTTCATCAGTTGTAACAAATGTCCCACCTTGATCGGGGAGGCTGTGCATGTGTGGGGACAGGGAGTACGGAGGACAGCACGGAGCCTTCTGCCCAATTTTGCTGTGGACCTAAAAGTGCTTGAAAAAACAAAGCATTTTTTTTTAAAGAGTAAAGGAGCATATGCTCTCAAATTCCTTAGTAATAATAATAGTGATAAGATGTGTGTGCAGAATGAGAGGCAAATGTAAACTATTCTGGGTGAGGATACAAGGGAGTTCTTTGTATTCATCGTGTAAATTTTCTGAGTATTTCCAATTACTGAAGAATCAAGTCTTTAAAAAATAGCAATAAATAAAGCATGGACTTTGGAATCAGATGGTGTTGTGTTAGAACCTAGCCAGACATTTTATTAGCTGTGTGACATTGGGCAAGTGTTTCTACCTCTCTGGGTCTCCCTGTATTCACCTAAAAAGGGGGGCCTTCTGACTCCTGCGCAGCCGACCTCTGGATCTTACAGCAAAAGTCAGGTAAGGAAAGGGAAGGGCGCTTATTGGACAGGTGTAGTAGTCAATTTTCTACACATACACGCCCCCCAAAAACAGAACCAATAGGATGTGTAGACCTAGACCTAGAGCTTTATTGGCTCATGCTATTATGGTGGTTGACCAGTCCAAATGTTAATCTCATCTTAAAAAAAAAAAAAAAAAAAAAACCTTCACAGAAAGATCAAGAATAACGTTTGACCAAATACCTGAGTACCATGGCCCAGCCAAGCTGTCATACAAAATTAAGCATCATGGCAGGGAAGGACTCTGTTCTCCCCACACCTGGGCATGTCTGCTTTGGAGTTTCCTTTTTGTAGCTCCGGGCACAGGAGCTGCTCATGTGTCTCCTCTCTGGCCTGTGTGCTTCTGAGGCTGTCCACTGGCCTCGCAGGGTGGGGCACATGCCTGATGAGGCCCTGCAGGTGTCCGTGCATGCTGAGAAAGTAACTGGGCACGTGGAAGCTCCCGCCCGCTGACCGCTCTGAGACCTGCGTCCAGCTCAGCCCTCGTGTTGCCATGCATCCCCGAGCAAGTCAGTCACCGCTCTGGGTCTCCTCCTCTCCGCTCTTACTGAGTCTGAGTTCTCAAGTCCCTGGGAACAGGAAGAAGGAAAGAGTCTCAAAAGAGGACCTACAGTGCGGAGACCATCTTCCAGGCCCTGTTCTAAGTACTTGGCGGGTATTACTTTATTCTCGCATTCACCCGATCAGAGAGGTACCACAGTTATCCCCATTTTACAGAGGGGGAAACCGAGGCACAAAAGAGGCAGGTGATGTGCCCCAGGGCGTGGGTCTAGCGAGTGCCAAGCCCTTGTAAGCCAGTTTCACCATGAGGAATCCTCGGGAACAGCTGAAAGGCCAGTAACCGGATCTGAGGGGTGGGCCAGAGAGGGTTGGGCCAGAGAGGGTTGGGCCAGAGAGGGGCGGGCCAGAGAGGGGCGGGCCTCAACGGGAAGGCTGGAGTGAGGAAAAGAGAAGCTGCTGGGGCTTGCCGGTGAGTTTCAGTTTCCTGGCTTTTGTAAGTTTCGGCTTCCAGACTCTCCCAGCTGAGCTGCTCTTTCTCCTCTGCTTGCTGCTCTGCCGTCCACTGTCACCTCGGCAGCCAGCAGGAACGATGGGAAACTGGCTGTCCAGTGTCAACCCAACATCCGTGATCTCAGTGCCCGCTCAGAGACTGGGCGACTACATCCAGGACTACCTGAGACCCTCTGAAGACTGTCAGAAACAGATCGACTTGGACGTGGACACCATCTGTGCTGCCCTGCAGGAAACTGAGGAGCTCCCCACGGTGACAAGTGTGGCCAAAGTGAGTCGGGGCTGGGGTCAGGCCTTCTGGGAGCCAGGATATTCCCTGGTCACTGAAAGGCAGAGTGACTTGGTGCTGAGCACCTACTGTGTGCCAGGCCCTGGGGGCACTCTATGTCCTCGTGTGCTCCCCCCACCCTCGAGTAAGAGGATGAGACACGGTGTCACGTTTAGGAGCACAGGCTCAGGAGCCGGCTCTGCCCCTACTGCTGTGTGACCCGGGGTAGGTTGCGTAACCTCTCTGTGCTTCTGTCTCTGAATCTGTAAAATGGGAGCAGAATACCACCCATCTGGAAGAGTTATGAGGCTTAAGCATATCATGCTCTCAGTTCAGGGCCTGGTACCTAGCTAGAGCTCAGTAAATTAACTGTGATTACTCACTGTCATTGTTTCTACTCTCCCCCATTTCCAGAGCAGTAAACCGAGGCTAAAGGACTTCAGTAAAACTACCCTAAAGTTGCTCTCTGGTTTTCCAGCAAGAGGGGCTTGGGGACTCTAACCAGTTAGAAACAGATGGTGTTATGGGCAAAACCACCAGGGCTGAGGCTGAAGAGTCTGGGCCTTTGGGGAAAAAGGGCTCTGGGAAGGTGCCAGGGTCCTGGGGGAGGGGGGGGGTTCGAGATCCTTCTCCCCCACCCCCACGCTCCGCAGCCCTGGAGACTCACCCCTCTGCCCTTGCACACGCCCAGTAGCCCCAGCAGTAAAGACACATGGACACTTGGTGCCTCCTCCTTTGGCCCGGGTGAGGAAACTGAAGCACAGGGAAGTCCCTCAGTACCCGGCCTCAGAGCTGGGGCCAGGCCCAAGCAGGAGCCCGCACTCCTAACCGCGGTACCGTCCTGCCTCTCGACCTGACTTTTTTTTTCTAATTAAAATAAAACATACCAAAAGAAAAGTGCGCAGAGCTAAGTGTGCAGTCTGTTTGGATTGGCACAAACAGCACACGTGTGCAACCTACACCCAAATCAAGAAGCACAACATCCCCAGCTCAGCGGAGCCCCTGGCCTCCCTCCCCTGCTGCTACCCCAACCCCAGGCAGCCGCTCCCCTGACTTCTGACAGCAGAGATTAGTTTCGTCAGTTTTTAAACTTCGTATACACGAAAGGTGGGCAACCACCCCAGTCTGCCTGGGACCGAGGGGTTTGCTGGAGGGCTAATGCTGAGTCAGCCAGACCAGGGGTCACCCTGTAGAAAAGAATCCATGCACTGTGTGGCTTTAGTGTGTGGCTTCTTTGGCCCACTCTGCTGATGGAGGGTCTGTTGTCGTGGGCAGGGTTTGTGTATCCTTTCGTGGCTGCAGAGTATTCCACTGGGTGGACACACCACATCTGTCCCTTCGAATGGTGGCAGTCAGTTGAGCTTCCTCCAGGGGGGCCTAGTCAGAAAGTATTGCAAATGGAAGCCTGCCACTCAACTTTAAGACTATGGTGACGTTTTGGGCTTTTGCTCAAATTAAGAAATACTACGGCTGCCCTGGCTGGTGTGGCTCAGTGGAGTGAGCGTCGGCCTGAGAACCAAAGCATCACCAGTTCGATTCCCAGTCAGGGCACATGCCTGGGTTGCAGGCCAGGTCCCCACGACCTGGCAACCACACATTGATGTTTCTATCCTCTTTTTCCCTCCTTTCCACTCTCTCTAAAAATAATTAATAAAATCTTTTTTTAAAAAAAGGTACTGCTGCCTGCTGGGGAGCCCCAGGACCCCACTGTTGCCTGCTGGGGAGCCCCATGACCCCCCCAAAGTGTCCAGAGTCTTACACCTGCTTCTCTGTTGCTGGCAGGGTGGCCTCTATGGCCGAAAAACAGTCTTAAGGGGAAAATCCTACGGTACCCTTATCATCTTCACGAGTGACCTTGGACAATTCCAGGATCAGACGAAGAAAAGCAAACATGAAATCCTCAACAAAATCTACAGGTGGCTGAAAGCCTCACAGCTTAAAGGGTTGGTAAGAGCCCAGATGGAGATCGAGCAGTCCAACAGTGGGCTCAGCATCCAGCTGTCCTCAGAATCGCAGACCATCATTTTTGCTGTGCTGCCTGCCTTCGATGCTGTGGGTGAGCCCTCCTGGGTGCATGGCGGAGTACAGGTTTGGGGGGGGGGTGTTGAGAGAGCAAAGTCAAAGAAAGGGGTGGCAGATAGAGAGCATTGGTGGTTTGTGAAGTAGGGGACCATAGATCTTCAAGAGAGGAGGAGGTTTCTTCTCTAGGACTTCTCCCCCACCTCCTCAACGACCTGGGAAAAAATGTTCTAGACTCTCGGGCAGAGCTTCTCAAATTGTGACATGCACACAAAGCACCTGGGAACCTTTTGAAAATGCAGGTTCTGGTTCAGGAGGCCAAGTGTAAGGCCCAAGACTTGGAATTTCAAACCAGCTCTATGATGCTGCTGCTCATCTGAGAATGTAGACTAGAGTAAGTGTTGGTTAGGGAAAGATAATGGGGCAAACACTTGGGAAAACTGCCGCTGGAGCAGGTTTTGGGAATCTGCCTTCTGACCAGGTCAACGTCTAGGCAAGGACCTTCCATGGGTGACTGGTTGGATGGATGGATGGATGGATGGATGGATGGATGATAGTTGGGCAGACAAATGATTGAATGAGTGGATCATTAAACTGGATGGAGGGATGGATGAAAAAGACTCAACATAATTAAAGCTTAGGATCAGGCACAGGTATATAAACACATATGTAATCACAAACTTAAATGCCGGAGCTCAAATTCAGCCCCTCATTAAGCAAAGGGGGAAACTTAAGAAAAGGAATGTTCCCAGGACCACACAGTCAGTTACTGACAGAACTAGAATAAAATCCCAGGCCTCCTAAGCCCCAGGCTAAGGTGCCTTTAGGGTGCACACACATGTGCACACACGCACATGCATATACACACCTTGATGGCTCACATTCACTGACAGGTGACCAGTTTCAAAGGAAGATGCACCAGTATGGAAGGTGGGCAGCCCTGAGTTCTTAACCTGGTCCCACTACTTACCCACTTTTGCCAACTGTAAGATCTGTAATTATGCAGGCCCTTCAGCACGGTAAGTGTTGAGAGTATGGGCCTGCCTCAAACAAGGGCTAGAGTCAAGCTGAAGAGACAAAGTATGACTCAGGATTCTTAGAAAATATGATGCTCTCCCCTCCTGTTGAGAGCACAGTGCTGGAAACCAGGCCAGAGCATCACTGGGTTGGCCCCATCATGCAAGGATGGTGTGAGGATGAGAAATAGCCTCTTCCTCCCATGTGGTACCCAGAAGCTACCACCAGGTGGTAGTAGAGCTGCACGCTCCAAACAAAGATCCCTTTCTAGAAGGAAACAATAGTCACCTTCTGAGAAAAGCAGCCTGCTGGGGAATTCTTCCATTACTTTCTTTGGTAAATATGAGCCTAACTAATCTGGCTTACTCTCCTCACCGATCCAAGCAGACTCGCTTCAACTCTGCATCTCTCTCCCCTGCTGTGTGCTACGACAGCTCTCTCCCTGGGGTCTTTGACCCAAAACAAGACTCTTCAACTTATTTGACTTCTTGGTGTTTCAGTTTCCTCATCTGTAAGTTATTGGTGAGGCTTGTCTATGTCACTGTCCATAAAGGACTTAGGTGTGCAAGAGATAGAACACCCCCAAAATGTTGCAGTGCAATTACCATTATTAAGCAAGATAGAATATTCTTTTCCTCAACCTCCTGTGTGCCAAGTGCCCAGAGCCATGCCTGGCTAATAGTAGGACATCAGGAAATATTGGAGTGAATGAAAAGAACACATTGGCTCCCATCCCCTGGCTGTTTATCTAAATACATTTATAAACAGTGGAGCTCAGCTAGCGAGAATGGGAACCTTTGGATTAAATTCTGTGAACTTTTGCCATCTTCTCATTGCGTTTTTTTTCCACAAATAAATCAACCTTAGTAGATATGATTTTGTATTAATATAGCACCTTCTCCAAGAACTAATACAATGCTTTACAGACATTGTATCTAAGCAGTCCCCCACAACGACCCTGTGAGGTCGGTTGTATTCCCATTTTACACGATCTGGAAACTGAAGGACAGAGAGGTTAAGTGACTTGCCCAAGGTCACACAGTTAAATCCACTGAAGAGCCAAGGCCTGAGCACCTCAGCCACCTAGCTCCCGGTTAAATATCTTATGAAAAGATTCTTAATGAAAGTACCTTTAAAGAAAGTATCAAGAGAAGTATGTTATGAACATGAGGTCTTTCCACCACCACCAAGAGGGGAAAGAATCCACACACATGGTTCAAGGCAGTTAGCTCTGCACCTCCCCCTTGCCTCCTTTCCCTTTGCTTTCTTTTCTTCCAGGGGTAGGCCGATGCCGTCTTTTGAAGAAACTGTCTCTTCCCTACTCATCGGAAACTCCTCCTTTCTCACTGATAATTGTATTCCTCCTCCTCCATTTCGTTCTGTAGATCTTGTCTTAAGCCAGCTTCATAGCACTTGCATGACAGTCTTTTCGACTGTATTTTATTATTGAGCAAGGCAAGCCACACCTCTGTCTGTGCAAACCTGGCCGCTCACAGAGGAAGCAGGTTGCCATCCATCCACACCTGACCACAATGGTCGGTAATCACCTTTGTGAGGGAAGTCCTTTTTCTCTTTCATGCCAGGCGTAAGTGAGAAGCCCAGCCCCTGGACCTACCGAGAGCTCAAAAGAACCCTGGATAAGACAGAAGCCAGCCCGGGCGAGTTCTCAATCTGCTTCACAAAACTCCAGCAGAATTTTTTTAACGACCGTCCCAGGAAGCTGAAGGACTTGATCCTCTTGGTAATAGACTGGTATCTACAGGTAAGTTCAAATCTCTCACTATCACCCTTTTCCTTTGGATCAAGATGACTTACAATCTGGTTCAGTACAACAATCTTACGTACGCAGTCCAATGCATGCACACACACACACACGCACACACACGCGCGCACACACCCCACCCAGATCAAAATAGGGCACGTTTCCCACACCCTAGGCACCTGTCTGAAGCCCACTCCTGGCTAAGAGTCCCCCAAACGGCCCACCCTCCCAAAAGCTGTCACCCCAGATTCATTTAGCTTGTCTTTCACCAGATAGAAATGGAAACATACTGTATGTTCTTTGTGTCTGCCATCTTCTGTTCAACATCATGTCTGAGAGATTGCTCCATGTTGGTGCATGTGGTTGCCATTTTTCAGTGTTTTATGCTATCCCATCATACACCCATACCACCCAGTGATCCATCCCGCTGCTGAGGGCCATTCAGGTCATTTCCAGGCCGGGGCTGTTATAAATTAGGTGACTGTGGACATCCCCCACGTGTGTTTTTGTGAATTGAAGCGCTCCTTCCTCTTGGGTAGATGTAGGAGTAGAATTGCTGGGTTATAAGGTGTATGTGATGAAAACATGTGTGTGTACACATGGCAAGTACATGTGTGTGCACACATGTGTGCCAAATGAGAGTTATGTACATACTTAACTTTAGGAAACGCTGCCAAATATAGACAAGCCCTGGCTTATGGTGGTTCAAATTAAGATTCTTTACTATGATGGTGGGAAAGTGATAGGCATTCCAAAGAAACTGTATTTTGAATTTTGACCTTTTCTTGGTCTGAGAATATGCAACTCATGTCCTCTTGTGCTGGTGGACGGTGGCAGCAGCCTCAGTTCCCAGCATGCCTTGGGGCCACAGGGGTGAACAACCGATACTCTTCAGTGTGCTGTGTGGTCAGTCGTCTTTGGATACCGTATTCTGTGTTTTCACACCCCATCCTGTCCACAAAACACCCACCTATCTCCTACTTCTGAGGAAAAGGAAAGGAAGGCAATGACTCTTGAGATGAAACTCAAGATCATTGCCCAACTGTAAGAGGTGTGAGCACGTGTAAGGAAGACTGGGCTAAGCTCTCACATTCAGTAAGTCAATTGTATTAGATGCATTGTTACTTGTGATACGTTCAACTGACAGTGGGTTTATTGGGCGGCAACTGCACTGTCGTTGGGCAGCATCTGTAGTTTTCCCAAATGACACTTCCATCAGTAATGGGTAACCCTTTCAGGAGCTCCACATCCTTGTCATCACGTGATACTGTCAGTCTGTCAAGTTTTAAGCATGGTGTCATTTTAGTCCTTGGTTGGGAACAGGGGCTTCTTATAGACACCTGGTGTCTTGATTTCAGACCCCTCATGTGGGAAGAGCTGGGTCCCCAAATTAGCGCTGCCCCTTCCCCCTCCCACAGTGCCAGAAAAAGATGAAGGACATGCCCAAACTGCCCCTGTACGCCCTGGAGCTGCTTACCGTCTATGCCTGGGAACAGGGATGTGGGGCAGAAGACTTTGATCTAGTTGAAGGCATCAGAACTGTCTTGGGGCTAATCATGCGGCACGAGGAGCTATGTGTCTATTGGACAGTCAACTACGACTTTGAGGACGTGACCACCCGGAACATCATGCTGAACCAGATCCGATCCCCAAGGTACCAGGCGTCCATGGTCCTCTCTCTTTACCTCTTTGCTCTGCATGCCAGGCTGTTCCCTGTCAGAAGGAGAGCTTGGCGCTGTCCTCCCCAGCCCAGGGGACACCCCAAGAATGCCAGCAGCACTGGGGAGGAGGGCGAAACGAGGCCTGTCAGAGGGAAACTTGACCAATGCTTTTCATGTTCCAAGTCATCATCATGTTTAATGCCCAAAATAAACACTTGAGAGGTACTTCCCTTTCTAGAAGAGGCTAAAAAGAGAAGAAAGGTCAGCAGGAAGAGACCCTCTTATTACATTATTAATTGAACGTCTCTGTTAAGCAGAAGGCACAGGACCAGCTAGATAAAGTGCCTCAGCAATGGAGAGAAACTACAGGAGTTAAAATCCAGGCGACCAGAAGCCCAGCCCAGGCCTCTTCCCCAGAACTCATTTCCCCTCCCACAAGCAGCCCAATTGACCTTTTTTTTTTGGTAATTTAATGGAATTTACAGGCCAGTAATCTTGGATCCAACTAACCCGACCAATAACGTGAGCCAAGATAAAACATGCTGGCTGCTGCTAAAAGAAGAAGCTCAATTCTGGTTGTCTTCTCCCAGCCTGAGAGACTTACCTGGACCACCTTGGAACGTTCTGGTGAGAGGGCTTTCCAAATACAGCTCGTGTCGTGCTTTGGGGGTGGGGGCCCCCTGAACCCAGACTGCAGCCTTACTCACGGTGGCGCTCCTTCACCTTCCGCAGCCAACGCCGCTTCACGAGACGCCGGGCCATCGTCTGGATGCATTCATCAAGTTCTTTCTGCAGCCCAACCAGACTTTCCTAGACCAGATGAGTAGCGCTGTTGACATCATCTGCAGGTTCCTCAGGGAAGAATGCTTTCAGCGCTCAACTACAAAGGTTCAGAAGTCTGTCAAGGTGAGCCTGGCCTTTCCCTCCAAGGGTGTTGCTTAGCAGGGTGCCAAATGGTTTCTAGAGCTCTGAAATGCTCGGCCGCAGCAGAGGCTTAAGGGCAAAGGACGAGGAAGGGAAGCTGGTGAGGTCGGCTACTAGGATACTGATTTTCGGGGCCAGCGTGGTCGTGGTGGACTGCGTACATCATCAGCAACGCACTTTTGATTCTGTAAGCATCCTTGGGCTGCGGGCATCCTTGGCGGTCTCTGGCTTGTAGCTGCATCGCTCAGATCTCGGCCTCCGTCTTCCCAGCACCTTCTCCCTCTGTTTTCTCCCTTTCTCTACTCTGTCATTGGATTTAGGGCGCACAGAACTCTAATTTCACTAAATCTACAAAGACCCTTTTTCCAAATAAGATCACGTTCACGCTTTCCCACCGAATGTAGTTTTGGGGAGCCTCTGTGCAAACCACTGCAGATGCCAAGCTCAGTGTATATGGAACCAACGAGTGGCCTCCCTATTGTTTCAGTCACTGGAGACCGATCCCTCCCTCCACTGAGCTAGAGATTCAGTGGATCGGATCATTCTTGTCCATGGCCCAAAGGCCGGGCGTTGATGCCCTTCCCTCTGTCTGCATGAATGAATTGGGTTGGAAGAGGGATTAATTGGGGATCTGTAGACAGGAAACAGAACACCGTCCTCTCGTCCCTAACCTGCATAGCCAGGCATTTCCTACCCGTCACCCGAGGAGTTGTGCCCACAGACAGAGCTCCTGAAAAGACAGCCGGCCGGCTGCTCACGTAGGGGTTGCCGGAGCAGGACCAGCGAGCCAAGAACCGTTTTTACATGTTTCACGAGTTGTTGAAGGGATAGGGGAAGGCCCAGGAGGAGGGCAGGGGAGGAGGCAGGAAGGGGGAAGAAAGAGGAGAAGCCCGTTTTAAGTTTGCCAGCCTGTGCCCCTAAATTGTGAAAACTCACCCAGTGATGCCCAGACTGCAGGAGAAAAACGGGTGAATGAGGGAACAGATGAGGACTTTCAACGTAAGGACTGCATGTCGGTGGATTTCTCTCAGGTCACAGGTGACAGGGGAGAGTAATGGGGGAAATGGGGATAACTGTAATGAACTACAATAAAAAAATTTTTTTAATGCAAAAAGAATTCAAAGTGAAATCGCATTAGGAGACGTCTTTAGGAAGCTGACTTGAGAAGGTCGTGTATATCTGTCAGTTGTTCTTGTATAAATAAGCGCCTCAAAGGGTGTGAGAATAACCACCTCTGGAAGCCTCTTATTCTATTCATGTGAAAAATGAAAAAGTCTGCTTTGGACTCAGCCCTCACGGGACCCCAACTCAGAATCTACCCGGGGCGGGGAGGGCAACCTGGTTACTTACTCCAACTGGCGGGGGCCCCTGGGGGTGAGGGGCTCGCGGTGTAGGGGACGCCGCCTCAGCTCGCCTTTGCTCACTAGGGAGGCTCGACCAGCAAAGGCACCGCTCTCAAGACGGGCTCCGACGCGGACATCGTCCTGTTCATTGACTCACTTGAAAGCTACGTCTCCCAGAAAACCAAGAGAAGCCACTTCATCGGGGAAATCCGCAAACAGCTCGAAGCCCTTCAGGGGCGAGGAGACCAGAAGTTTAAAGTGAAGTTCGAGATTTCGAAACGGGACAACCCCAGGGTGCTGAGCTTCTCTCTCAAATCCAAAGACCTCAGCGACAGTGTTGACTTTGACGTGCTGCCGGCATATGACGCGCTAGGTGAGACTCCCCATACCTTAGCTTCCGGGGCGGGGAGGATAGGGATGACGGTGAGAGGGGGCGGAGGAAAAGCCACGGGACTTAACAGGGGGCCGTGGGTCCAGGGCCCCCAGCAGGTGGCGTTCATAATAGCGGCAGCACAGCAGGCTCCAGCCTTAATCCACGGCTGCGCTGTCCACGGCTGCAGTTACCTGCGATCAGCCATGGCCGGAGAATATGAAATGGAAAATTCCAGAAATAAGCAGTGCATATGTTTCCCATTGCATGCCCTTCTGAATAGCGTGGTGACATCTCGCTCCGTCCAGCCTAGACTGACTCCTCCCCTTGTCCAGTGTCTCCGCACTGTCTACACTCCCCACCCATTGGTGGCTTAGGAGCCACCCGGGTCCTCAGACTGACTGCCATGGTGTCACAGTGCGTGTGTTCACGCCACCCTTATTTTACTCCATAGTGTCCCCAAAGCGCAAGAGTAGTGAGGCTGACAGTTCAGATATGCCAGAGAGGGGCATAAAGGTCTGTACGTGTAGGAAAACGCATAGTATGGGTGGTATCTTAGAGCGTGTCCCCCACGGGTGAGGGAGAGCCTTCCAGGCCTTAACGCCTGTATACGTTTTCATTCCTCACTTAAGTACCCCAGGACGTCCAGGACTCACGTCTTACTCTCACATGGTGTCATTCAAAATATCTATCAAAGACTGGGCTACACAGGAGCTCCTCACACATGGATCGGTGAAACGCTTCAAGTATTAGTGAAAGAAATGAAAGAACAGGCTGTGGGAGGAATTCTGAAGCAGAGACAAGAAACCTGGGTGCTCAGCTTCAATCTCAGGCAGACAAGCCCCTTACAAATTCAGTTCATGGGTGACAGAAACATAAAGGGGTATTGAAAGAAACCAAGGCTATTTCAGGCGTTTCCCAAACCCAAATCACAAAGACCTAGAGCCTTCCCGCTGAAGGGTTCTTAGTGTCTCTCAGAGAAAAATTAACAGTAAGATTGGGGGTTGGCTAACATTTTTTTTTTAAGCAAGAGCAAATCTTTTCAGCTTTAAGGACCATACAGTACCTGTCACAACTACACAGCTCTACCATTTGTAGCTAGACAGCGGCCATAGATAACGCATTGACACACAGGATGGCAATTTTAATAAAACTTTATTTACAACAAGCAGTTGGCCAGATTTAACCTGGGGGCCATACTTAGCTAACTCCTGTTTCAACATCGTCCAAAAGATCTCTCTGCAATATAGGAATATTCTCTATCTCTGCTGTATATCTATTGAGAGCTTGAGATGTGGCTAGTGCCACTGAGAAATTAAATTTTTAATTTGATTTTCCTTTATTAATTTGAATGCAAATAGCCCCCCTGTGGGCTGACAGCTACCACACTGGACACTACCAAACCAGATAATATTTTAATAATACCATTGGTACTCATACAGGCCACGTCCTTTGTTTAAATATCTCATCACCCTGAGATGCTCCCAGCATCTCAGACACACACTGATAGAATGCAATGGAATTTCTCAAAATTAAACTACATGTGTCAAAAACATTTTAAAAGCTGTTACTTTCTGTACACATGGAGGCATGAGGTAAATCTCTCTCCCCCTTGCTAGGTCAAGTGCGAGCTGGCTTTAGACCCAGCCCCAGCGTCTACACTGAGCTCATCTCCCTGTATAAAAGCTCCAACTTCACGGGGGGAGAATTTTCTACCTGTTTTACGGAGCTGCAGCGTAACTTCGTTATATCTCGGCCCACGAAACTGAAGGATTTAATTCGCCTGATAAAGCACTGGTACAAACAGGTACATACTGGTCTGGTAAAGCCAGCACCGGGGGCTGGACGGTCACAGGGCAACTGTCCTCTTCTGGATCCTGAGGATCTTCATGGAGGATGCCCATCCCTAACCCCTCTGAGCTGTGTCGGGTGTAGAGCGCCTCCTACCGTTGAAGCTGCCACCTGACGTTTATTTTTGCCCTGGCTCCGGCGCCCAAGCAGTCCTGCAGGAATCTAAGTTATGCGGCCTGCGGAGGGCCGGTGACACTGGGCTTTGCTTGTCCACAAGTCACCAGCCTGGCTCTCCCGGGGCTCAGTGGCGCCCATAACCGAGAGACACGGGCGCTCCCGTCCTGGAAGGCGGGCTGCGGCTGCAGGCGGCAAGGGAGGCTGCGTGTCCCTGGGGACTGCTTAGCCCGCCGCCACTCCCATCGCCTCTCGCGTGCAGGGTGGTTTTCACGACCACAAACACCCAGCACGACGTCAGCTCTTGCCTGGGGTGTCTCCTTTCTGAGTCCAGCTCCCTGCAGCCTGAGGTGAAGCCTGAGCTCCGTGGTCCCCACCGCAGAACCCTAGAGAAGCCGTTCCACGCCCCGCTCCGCGGGCTGCGCGGCTCAGGTGGCTTCACTCCCCCGAGCCTCGGGGCTTCACCCAAAATGGCAACCACAACGCCTGCCTCGTAGGGCGCTGGGGAGATTGGGAACAGCGGGGGTGACATGCCTGGCCCCGTAACTGGCACGCAGTGGGTTGTGAGTAAGTGGGAGCCGGAGTGTGGCTCTAGGAAGTCATCAGGGGCCGGAGCACAGCCAAGGACGCTGCACCTGCAGCCCACGGGAGGCTAAGTGAACACCTGCCACCCTGCGCTGCTCAGACCTCCCAGTCCCACCCACGCGGGACTCAGGGGCCTGCTGGGGCTCCAAGAGTCCTTAATGCCCAGTGTGCGCCGCCCCCTGCCTTGACCAGTGTCCTCTGTTGGTCCCCCTCTCCCTTCAGTGTGAAAGGAAACTGAAGAAAAAGGGGTCTCTGCCCCCCAAGTACGCCCTGGAGCTGCTCACCGTCCACGCCTGGGAGCACGGCAGTGGAGTGGAGGATTTTGACACCGCTGAAGGTTTCCGGACGGTCCTGGAGTTGGTCACCCGGTATCAGCAGCTCTGTATCTTCTGGACGGTCAATTACGACTTTGAGGATAAGACCATGAAGAGATTCCTGCTGACCCAGATCCAGAGAACCAGGTGCCCTGGACCCCACCCCCCTCCTTTTCTTAACCTGAGTCCTTCCAACACCATCTCAGCGGTGTGGACCTCCTGTGGGGTCATGACTCCTCATCCTCCTGTGAAGCGGGCGGTGAAGCGGGGCGCGCTAGCCAGCAAGACTGCCCAAAGTCTCAGGAGGCAGGAGAAAATGTCCCCCAGAAGGAACAGAGAAGCAAGGACCCAGGCTCCAGGCCCCTGCATGGCCTTCATCTCTCTAGGTCAGAAGGAAAAGCGTGGGTTCATCAGCAGGACCAAGAGGCATTGCAAGCGTGTCCCTGAGAAGTAACGATGTCACTCAGAGTCTGATTTATCCTACAGGCTTTTTATTAAGTCAGGTTTTGTCTACCTTTTCAGACCCGCGCCCCGTAAAACCTTTATCCTTCATGAATTAAAAGGAATCTTAGCTATCTGCTCAGAGCCACCAGCAAGGGACAAAAACAGTGGAAGCAAAAGAAAAGGAAAGGGAGAAAAGAAAGGAGTACTGAGAAGGTGGAGAGGAGAAGACAGAGAGGACAAGGTGCCCTGGGTTGCCTCCCATGGGTGTAGTCGACTTAGCAATGTTATATTTGGTTCAATTATACATCACAGTCCAGCTGGCCTGGCATGCGAAAGATGTTTGTAGAATGCCTTCCTGTCTGTAATAATTAAGCAGCTTTCAAAATATTTTTGACAAAAATAATTTAAGTCTAGGAAATGACTTCGCACAGAATTGGTACCTTTGAATTCCTGACATCTAAGAGATAAGGAAGCGTTGTTTTATTGACGAGAGGAGAACGGCCCCACCCCCCGAGACCCCCGGTTCTAAGCGGCACCCCTCTCATGCCTTCCAACCCTCCTGCAGGCCTGTGATCTTGGACCCAGCCGATCCTACTGGCGACGTGGGTGGAGGGCAGCGTTGGTGCTGGCATTTTCTAGCACAAGAAGCCACCGAATGGCTGTCCTTCTCTATGTGCTTCAGAGATGGAACTGGAGCTGCCATACCACCGTGGAACGTGCCCGTAAGAATAACCGAAAGGAAGTGTCATCTGGAGATTTCCCTGTGACAGGCTCAGATCAAAAAGCTTCTCCTGTTGTCGCAACTGGAATTTACTCAGCTACAAAGGACAGATGCGCAACTCAGGAGTTTAAGCAATTGGGTCCCCCCCCATTATAGGAAATCTTCAGGCAGGCAATCCAGGCCTCTTCCGACCGCCCCATCGTGCTTCACAAACAGTTAATCCGCCGCCGAACCGTGAGCACTGAGGGCCGGAGGTTTCTTTGTGCTGGGGGCCATCTTGGCCGATACGCGATACTGAGCAGCATCCCTGGCCTCTACCCACTACATGTCCGTAGAAGTCCCCCTCCCATGTGACAATGTCTCCAGACATTTCCTCTGGGCCTCCAGGTGACGGGTTCACAGTCTAGGCAGGAAGAACAGAAAGGGAAAGATACCTACCCAAGGGCATCTCATCAGAAGCCTCATCCAGCACATTCGCCTGTATTTCATGGCCCAGGACTGTCACGGGGCTGCCTGCTAACTTAACAGTGGCTCCAACGTGGGGAGGGTCAGCAACCAAGAGTGTGTTTCAACCTGTCCAAAGTGCCCCTCCTACCAAGACGCTTGCCACCAGGTACACTTGGTTCTCCCACCAGGCTCTTTCTCAAGGAGCTTTCAAAGCAGGGCTTCTCAGCCTCGGCGCCCCTGGCATCTTGAGCCAGGAGGCCAGCTGATTCTCGGTTGCAGGGGCCTGAGCTGTGCATGAGAGGATGTTGAGCAGCATCCCGAGTCTTCGCCCACTCAGTCCACCCAGCTGTGACCATTACGAGTCTCAAGACATTGCCTCATGTCCTATGGGGGGCAAAACCGCCTGCTCTGAAAGGAGCCCCCACCCCACTCCAGGGTTAGCTTTAGTTACCAAGGTCTACGCTGTCAACGAGTACCCCCAAATTATCCCTGGTGGTCGTTAACCCTCTGAGACACACTTCCTTCTTTTTTTTTCTCCTGTTTTAACCAATGGTTTCAACTGCTTAGGACATGTATTATTCTCACACCTTTCTAGACGGAACAGACGCCAGAAAGCTGTGGGGCCAATACACACCCTAATGTCAGTGAAATATTCTCATCCGCGAGTCGTGGGATCCGAGACTGAAAATGCTAGAAGAACCTTCTGGAGGTCACCTGGCCGCTGCTTTTGCAGAACCCGCTGGCTGCGTGGAGGTGTATCCCAGACCCACTCCCCCCGCCCTTGCTTCCGCTGCCCCTCTGCATGCCGCCACTGCCGCACCCTTCTCCTAGAGTCTGGCCAAGCCGCGCCTTGCTCGACGCTCACTCCGCGGGAGCCTCATTAAAAATATTTGCTCTCATCCACAGTTTGTCAATCAGCTCCTTCCTTTTCCTTCAACTTTCAGAAGAGGATTCTCTCCATATTCTGAAAGTGAAGCTTTTTACCTGCCCCTTGGTTCCCATCACTCAGTGGCCTTGCTTTCATAATGATCCACCTCGGCCACCTCCCCCAGACGCAAAGCCCTCTCTGTCCCTGTCGAATTGAAGGTCCTTAGCTGGTGGTAAATTAGCCTCTTTTAAGACCTTCGAGGGCTCCGAAGGTGTGGATTACAGCGGGTGAAATACGCGTGTCTCCGGCCGTCTTCTCCTGGGCCTTCTTGTCTCCCCTCATCCATGCGCATCCTCTTGCCAAATTGAAAAGCTTTATCCTCTGGCTTGACCTTCAAAGAATGATACTTAAAGGTCTAAGTGTTTCCACCTCATTTGTGTTCGCTAAAAGCCTTCCTACAGTCATGTATACCAGCTGTCATGGGAATAAGAATACGCGTGTCTGTTCTTATGCTCTTTGTCCCCACTTTGTGGCACAGAGCTTCGAAACCCCCTGGGATTTCCTCGTGGGAATGTCTTCTGTATTCCTAACAAGGTCCTGCCAAACCATGCCTGAGTTTACACCCCTGACGTGTGGGCTCTTAGAGTTCCAGGGAGGGGCTGGTGGTGCCAGGACGATCGAGCCAGAAAGGCCGGGCACGTGAGCAGACGTTGGGACTCCCAAGCAGAGAGGGGGCTGGAGACCAGCTCAGGCATGTGGCCAAGGATTTATCAGTTGAGCCTCCGTAACAAAGCCCCAGGGAAAACTCGGGCCGTCCAGGCTCGGGGAACCTCCTGGTCGGCAAACGCATCAATGCGTTGTGACGGTGGCTCATCCTGACTCCAAGGGGACGGAAGTGTCTCTGCTTGAGGCTCTGCCAGACCTCTCCACCTGGCTGTCCGCCCGTGTCCTGTATAACAAGATGGTGGTGGCAGGTGTAATGCTTTCCTGAGCTCTCTGAGTCCTTCTAGGGACATACTGAACTTCAATGTGTAGCCCAATTAGAAGGAGAAGTAGTCTGGGGGCCTCGCGTGCGCCTGGCATGCGAAGCGGGGACAGTCTCGTGGGGACCTTGTCCTTTCACTGTGGGGTCCGCACCCACTCCAGGGGGTGTCAGCGCTGGATGACGTTGTGAGATACCCAGTCGGTGTCTGTGAGCTGCTGTTGGAATCTACGCCTCCTCCTGTCTAGGAGAAGAACCAAGAAAATAGCTATGACTGGAGGTTAAAGGCCGAAAGAACAGCCACCCCGAGTTGACAGCTACTCAGCCTACAACTAGGGACCACGCCCTTCTACATGTCCAAACTCGCCCTAGGCAGACACGAAACCGTAAGGCACTGCCCCTTCCTCACAGGGCATAAGTGTGCCCAGAGGAACTAGGCCACCCCTAGCTAACCTTAAACAAAGGCGAAGGGCAATTCACAGCCATGTGCTAAGCGACACGTATGTAGTGGACTAAGACCGGTATGAATAAACTGAACATCTCAAGGAGCCTCAAAGGCAGGAAGGGACCATCCCGACTTTTTTTACCAATGTTTTCTCAGCAGTCGGATATGCATTTAAGTTCCTTAAGAGCAAAGGGAAGGAAGATTTCACGGCGATCAAGAAACTTGGGGTCCCTGGTGACCGCTGGAGGTAGCGAGGGCACCAAGCCTTTCTTCAAAACATTGGCAGCTAGCAGCCGTGACTAGGAAATCACTAGACCCAGCCCTTCTTGTCCAAAATGTGTTTCGGGAAAAACAAACAACCGGAACTGAGAAGAAAGACAATTTTTAACAGGTGAATCCTGCTTAATGCATGTGGAAAGGGTGACAGGTTAGAAAACACCATTGTGCAACTTGTGACGAAACGAATGATTTAGGAGATTACCGATGCGTGGAGCCATTCGGTGAAATGCAGATGGGGACTCTGTAACAGACGGGGCAGGCTGTCTGCTGCCAGATCAACGGTTCCATCACAGCAACCGCAGGAGGACAGCCAGACACGGTGGCGCGCCGGCGTGAGGCCCACAGCACTATTAAGTATTTTTGCCAAATCAGAAAAAAGAAGGGGGGAGGGCTAACAAAAGACAAAAGTTCCAGAGAAAATGTGGAGCCCAGACAGACTACGGAGGAAGAGAACAGCAAAATAAGGGGAACAGAGGACAGAAACGCGGCAGGGTGTGTGCTCTCACCGCCACAAAGGGAAATGAACCAAGAACAGAGCAAGAATCCAGTTAGTGGGTTAACAGTCAAGATCCCAGGCCCACAGTCCACTCCCGGTTACCCTGGCAACGAGGGCCTGCTTCCATCAAAGCAAGTCAGCAATGACTAGAAGCAGGGCCACAGGTGCCGAGTGGCCAGTGGCCCCGGGCGAGTGTGGGAAGAGCGTGATGGGCAGACCAGCCGCGACCACGAATGGGGAGTGTTTGTGGGTCAAAGGGTTTTCTGGGGCCTGTATGCTGGGAAGCCGTGGCTGCTCTGACCCGAGGCTCCTCCTGCTGAGTCTGGTCACCCCTGAGCAGGTAAAATGGTGTCACTCCAGTTCTAGTGCTTGGCATCAGTGCCGGAGGTGAGCGTCAGGGCAGGGAGAGGTGGAGAAAGCTCTCCCTGCGGGGCCTGGAGGGAAGAGGTCCGCAGAAGAAGCAAGATGTAGGGATCCTAGTAACCCCACCCCGCCAGCCCAGAGGACCAGAGGCGCCCTGCTCGCTCGCCTTGGTTGGAGCATCTCAGGGAGGTGCCGAACCTGAGCCGCCGTCCCCCCCTACCCCATGCTGCAGGGCGAGGCTGGGAATCACCAGGAAAACTTCCTGTGTTCCGAAGGCCGAGGCTTCATTGATGGAGCGGGAAGTCATTGCCAGGAGAAGGGGAAAGGCTCAGTCGTTGGGGGTGGGGGCAGTTCTGGAAAGGAGATCCTTCCCCGAGGCTTGGCCACGGCGATGGCCAGAACCTCGGGAGAATGAGAGCGCCAGCCGGTGACCGCTGTGCGCTCTGACAGCGGGAGAGACAATGCTGCTAAAGCCACGGGAGGCCTGGGGAAGCAAGAAGCAGTGCCTCTGGCAGAATGACAGCCCCCCAAAGATGTCCACGCCCTAACCCTGGGACCCGCAACTATGCTACCATACGTGGCAACAGGGACGTTTGCAGGAGTGATTAAGGACCTTGAGTGGGGGGAGGGTATCCTGGGTTTTCCAGGTGGACCCAATCTAATCCCACCAGCCCTTTTCCCGCCTGCAGTTAGAGAGGTCGGGCTGCTGCCTCCAGGGGCGCAGCCAAGCGCCAGGGACACGGGCGGCCTCTGGGCGCTGAGGGCCTCAGCTGACAGCCTACCCTGGAGCGAGGCCATGGAAGCGGACTGCTCTGACAGCCCGCGTGAGCCTGAGACCCCGCGCCCGCAGAGCTTCCAGCTAGGAGGCAGCCCGGCCAGCGCCTTGGGCTGGGGACTCGTGGGACCCACAGCGGAGAAACCAGGCAGGCTGCTGGGCTCCTGACCTACAGAGCCGCCAGGTAATGAACGTGTCTTGTGTGAAGCCACTAAACGGGTGGTGATCTGTTTTGGCAGTTATCCGTCTCACAGTGGCGGGGTGGGGGATAGCAGTGAGCAGTTCGGGGGCTGGGCCCCTCGTGGCATCAGCGTCCCCCTCCCCCGTCCCCACGCCACCACCTGCAAGACCACAGTTGCTCCATGCCTGTCCAGCCTGTGTCCCGGGAAGGCAAGTCACATGTGGGAGGGAAACTCTGCTTTTCTCATCTGCCCTCCACCCTTCTGACACCAGATTGGGGACGGGGCAGGTGTTCGCACTGACCGGCTCTCCAAGGCGGGTCGGGTGCCCTACTATTCAATGTACTTCTGGCACGGTCTCCCCGGGGTTAGCGTCAGATCCCACCGGCCAAGGGCTCAAGCCCACCAGACAGCCCCCACCGCCCCTTCAGACCAAGTCACAAGGCTAGGCCCCCCCTGGACTTCTCACCACCGTGTTATAAAGGGGTCCCGTGCCCCTCCCCAGGTTTGACAGTTTGTTAGAATGGCTCACAGTCCTCAGAAAAGCAGCGTACTTACTGGATGGCTGGCTTATCATAAAGAGCTGTAACTGAGAAGAGGGCTCTCTTCCTGGCTTCAGGTGGGGTCTTCACAAGGAGGTGGGGGAGTCAGGCCGGGAGGGGGAGGGCAGCAGTGGGGGGTTCTTTGCTCTCCATAACGTCTCCCTTGCTTCCTCCATTCCCACTGTTAAAGGAAAATACTAATTTCCTAACAAATTTCACGTTACTTGGAGCATGTTCACCCACTTGCTTCAGGCAGTTTCGGACTCATAGTCAGCACACCAGGCCGGCCGAGGGCGCAGGTGCGAGTCGGGGGTGGGGGGCACCATCCACGCGGAGCTATGTCTGACCAGGTCACGGCCTCTTCCTCCGTTCTTAGTCCTTCTCCCTGCGTCCTCCTCCTTCTTTCCTTTTTAAAAATAAATTGTTGCTCTGTTACAGTTGTCCCAATTTTCGCCCTTTTCTCTCTTCCACCCACGGCCCCGACCCCCGCCCCGGGTCCCACAGACAAGCCCCACTCTGTTGTCCACATCCATGGGTCATTCGCACATGTTCCTTGACTGGTCCCTTCCCCTTCTTTCCACCCATATTCCCCTCCTTCCTCCCCTCTGGTCGCTGCCAGTCTGCTCCTTGTTTCCATGCCTTTGGTTCTATTTTTCCCCAACGTTTGTTTTGTTCATTAGGTTGGTCTTATAGGTCAGATCACATGGTATTTGTCTCGCCACCTGATTTATGGCAGCCTGGCTTTGGCTGCCCTCTGGTGGT